TAAATTTCCTCTTTCACCATATCAATGATCTCTTCACATTAGTAAGGGATACCATTCCTTTGAAGAAGTAAGCTACTTTAAAAACAAAATGTTTAAACAGTCTTTCCCCCAGAAAATAGATAGACAGACAACCCTGAGGTACTGATTCCCATCCTACTGGCAGGTCTTCTGTCTTTCAGAGTATCTTTGGAGTAGCATCTACTTTAGTATAAGTAGTAGAATCAAGGACTGGATTTTCAAAATTATCTGCACTGTGTGTCTGTGAGTTTATTTTTAACACAGTGCAAATAAATATGTGTGTGCATATATATTCTTTAAGGGAATTAGGATCATGTTCAATGTACTGTTTTGTAACCTTATTATTACAATTAATGCATTTTAAGCATTTTTCCTGTAATGTTAATTATCAAGAACACTGGTATTTTACGGTGGTCATGGTAGACCAGTATCATGAGGTGGTAGAATGTACCCAGGAGCCAGTAGTTAGTCTGGCCCTGAGCTGTCAGACAAACTTCTTAAACTCTTTGAGCCTTCCTACCTGCAACATTCTCTTGAGGATTAGAAATAAGTTGAAATGACAAACCCTGGGAGAATAGTCTCAACAAGTCATTATTAATTGTTCCCAGTCTTAATTTAATCCATTAGTGTCCATAATGAAGTGTGTGCATGAAGATCCATTGGGGGGCAAAAGAAAATAGTAGGATTTATGTTTCTATTTAATTTTAATCTCACTTTTTTACAATTTCTATTTTTGTGTATATTTTAAAATATATTAATATAGTAGCACTGTTTTATAATAATACGCATTTGTAACTTGAAAGTGCATGCTCAAATTCTTTTTACTGATAGGAAGATACAAAATTGTTTCTAGGGTATTTTTTCCACCTGGTGGCCAGTTGTGTGGTAAAAATTAATTTCTCCTAACAGTGGACCTCAATCTCAAAAGGACTTCTCAAAAGGATTACTCAAGCAATAATAATAATAGTACTAGTAGTAATAATAATATCATATTTTACAAAGATTTCCAATGCCTTATAAATCTATACAATAAAAGCCCAGCGACCAAAACAGCTAAACGACCAGAACAGCCAGAGACCAGAACGACTGCCGCCCCTTGCTCTGGCTGGCCCCGCCCCCCAGCAGGGACCCCAACACCAATCAGGGGCATGGCTGGCCTGCAAACCCCCGCAGCCCCTCACCTCAGCTGGCCCCACCTCCCAGCAGTGACCCATACCCCAATTAGGGGTGGGGTTGGCCAGCAAACCGCTCCAGCCCCGCCCCCCAGCAGGGAACTCCCACCCCAATCAGGGGTGTGGCTGGCCTGCAAACCACCCATGGCCCCTCACCCAGGCTGGCCCTGCCCCCTAGTGGGGACCCCCCCTACCCTAATCCGGGGTCCCCATCAGGGCAGGCGGGCCGGCCCTTACCTGTGCACCAGGCCTCTATCCTATATAATAAAAGGGTAATATGCAAATTGACCCTAATGGCAGAACGACCACTTGACCAGTCACTATGAGGTGCACTGACTACCTCTCGGTCCCTTTCCTTGGCCAACAGTCTCTGATCACCCAATGGCGAATGGGGAACTGGGGGTGGGTGGTGGGGAACACGGGTGGCACCAGGCCAAGGCCCCCACCCCACCAGTCACCCACACACAGAGGCAACCCACGGCAGGGGCAGGGGCAGGGGCGGGGCCTCCTCCTGGCCAGCAGGCTCCGATCACCCGATGGCGATGGCAAACGGGGAACTGGGGGGTGGGTGGCAGCGGGGGGCAGGGCCAGCTGCGGGCAGCCAGGGAAGATGGCTCTGATCGCAGGCCAAGCCTAGGGACTGTAGCGCCGGGCCTCTAGTAAGAATATAAAAACAAGCTTAGGCAATAGAATAATTTTTGATTTTTAAATGTTACTGTTTCATATGTAATTACAAGTGTTAATCGTGGTATTAAAGTTTGGTGTACATTTACAAAGGAAAATGAAAGTTGAGGTTTTAGTAGAGCAGAAAAACACTAGCTTTAAAAGTGAAATCTGAAACCATGAAAAGAGGTTCAGCTTTCCTGGTATTCAGGAATGATTACTGAAGGCAGGTTGACTGAAAATGCAAACTGAAACCTTAAAGTACCGTGTCTTGCCCACCATATTGGCAGAAATGTTTAAAGTCTGATGATTTTCCAGGGTTGGTGAGGATGTGGGGATTGCTGTGGTGGAAAGCCATACTGCCACTTTGGAGGACAATTTGGCAACATTTTCAGATATAAAAAAGCTCATGCCATTCATTGTCTCTGGATCCGCCTTAGGGCAACACTCTTACACAAGAGGCATGCACAAATACGTTCATTGCAGCATCACTGTTAATAGCAAACCATTGGAGACAGCCATCATTGGGGGACTAGTTTTTAAAATGTGACTTTAAAAAATTAAAATGTAATTCGCATACCATAAACTTCACAGTTTCCAAGTGTACAATTCACAGGGTTGTGCAACCACCACTACCATCTAAGTCCAGAACAGTTTCATCATTTCAAAAAGAAACCCTTTATCCATTTGCAGTCACTCCCCATTTCCCTCTTTCCTCTATAACAGTTTTATTGAGATATAATTCACATACCATACAAGTTACCCATTTTAACTGTACAATTCAGTGTTTTTTAGTATAGGCACAGGATTGTGCAACCATTCTAAAAATTGACTTTAGAACATTTTCATCATCTCAAAAAGAAACCTCATGCCCTTTAGCTATTGCCCCCAAAGCTCTACTCCTCAATCCTAGGCAATCATTTCTGACTCTATAGATTTGCCTATTCTGGATATTTCATTTAAATGCATCATAAAATACACCTTTTATGTCTGGCTTCTTGCACTTAGCATGTTTTCAAGATTCATTCACATTGCAGCATGAATTAGTGCTTCATTCCTTTTTATTGCCAGATAATATTACATTGTATGGATATACCACATTTTTTTACCCATTAATCACTTGATAGACATTTGGGTTGTATCCACCTTTGGGCTATTTTGAATAATGCTGTCAATGAATATCCATATACAAGTTTCTGTAGGAAAGTACACTTTCAGTTGTCTTGGTGGAATTCCTGAATCCTGTGGTAACTCAGTTTAACTTTTTGAGGAACTGCCAAACTGGTTTCCCACAGCAATTGCACCATTTTACATTCCCACCATCAATGTATGAGGGTTCCAGTTTCTCTGTAGCCTTGCCAACACTTGTTTTCTGTGTTTTTGAAAATTATAACCATCCTAGTGGGTATGAAGAGGTATCTCATTATGGTTTTGATTTGCATTTCCCTGATGACTAATGTTGTTAAGCATCTTTTCATGTACTTGTTGGCCATTTGTATATCTCCTTTGCAGAAATATCTATTCAACCTGTGGCATTTTTATGCTATGCTGTAGAACTGTTAAAAGGAATGAGGCAGATTTGCATGTAATAATCCCTGGTCTATTTTTACATATAGATCAAGACTTACACTGAGCAAAATAGCAAATAGTAGAAAGATACATTGCAGCACCATAAATTTTATATACCAGGCCTCTCATTTGCCTTGTGTACACACACACACGCGCGCACACACACACACACACATACCAGGACTATATGTTTAAATATAAATATGTAAGGGGATAGAGAAGGGTCTGATAGAATATTCCTCAAATCTGTCAAGATGGTTGGTTACCTTGGGGCAGGAAAAGAGAGAGTTAAGATGAGAGTGGGATTTCATCAAAAGGGACTTCTGGTTTTTTATAACATTTTAAGAGTATTAATGAGCTAGTTACTTGATAAAAATTTGTATAAAACTCCTTAAAATGTATACACAACTTGAAGAGATAAGGAAAAAGAAGCAACTGGGGGACTCTAGCTGGAGAGGGCTTAGAATCAGTGCTTCCTGCCACCTGACAAATGAATGCAGCTCCTGTTCTGCAAATATGGTCATCGCCTCCCTTTATAGCTCAGATTTCTTTTGTCTTGGTCTCTCTTTCAAAGTAACTTTATTACTCTTTTAATAATACATAACAATTCATATAGTATAGAGGTTTATAAAGTTTAAATTGCTCATCTCTCTTCACCTCAAGTCCCTCCTTCTCCATGACAATTTGTGTCAGTACAGCTCCTTTTCCCAATAAACTTCTATGTCCTAGTTTTGTCTCCTCACCCCTCCCAGAAGGTCTGTTTCTTCAGCTTTCTGTATTTGATGGGGGAAAGCTCCTTCCTCTGTAGGGAAAGGCGAGTCTGTCGTTCAGTGTCTATGACAGTGGTCTTCAGACTTGCCTTGTGTCACCCCCTACCAGAGATGGTGACTCAGTGGGTCTGGAGTTCTGCTCTGGTGTCTCGATTTTATAAAAAGCTCCCATCGTGATTCTGATGAGCCAACAGGGTTAAGAGGCATTTACCTAGTGAATAACACAGCGGTCATAAATTGTACCCGTGATGTTTGTTTGAGAATTATTTTATGAGAGAGTAATGGAACTGTCAGCTTTATGGAAACATGCCTGAACTTAAATGGTCTGTTTTGTTCCAGGAATTTCAGATAATTTTCAACATTTGGTTTTATCTCAGACTAAATATTCTACATTGAGCTGCCATCTGAGTCTGAGAAAGTGATCTTGGGTTCATTTTTGAAAATGTTAGGAATAAGGGGCAAACTTAGCTTGTAAGATTTCTCCCATTTCATATTGAAAATGGTGGATGTAGAAAGATGAAAGGTGTTAAATCTTCTGTGTCAGGCAGACTGTTCCTGGGTCCTATTTTGTAAGCTGTTTCTCTCCCGAGATTTCTGTGGACTTCATGATAGTATGTTTGCCTGAGAGACTCATGCAACTCCTAAAACTTCACACTAATTTCCATTTTTATGTTTTTAGACATGAAACTTGTAGCAATTCATAAAAGCCATTTAGAGACATAATAATATTCACTTTCTCTAGAATAATAAACCTGAGTAATCTTTCTCATACCTTAAATTTATATTAAACTTACATTTTCTCTTCTAGGTATTCTCATGGGAGCAGTTATAAAAATTATAGAGTTTAAAAAACTGGCAAATTGGAAGGTAGGTTCATTTTTAACATAATTATGGTGGTTTTTTTTGGTTGTTCTTAATTTTAGCAACACTGATAGTTATGGTGGCTCTCTTATCAATGAAGTTTATATTATCACATTAATTTTTTTAACATTCTATTAGATTAGGGTTGATACCTTTACAACTTAGCTTTTTTAAATATATATCTGTTTCAAGTTAACATGGAGCACTCAATGTTATGTTATTTATGCACATTTTTATAATCTTAAGGGAAGGCTCTAATTAGCATTATTTTATTTATTTATTTATTTATTTATTTATTTATTTAACCTTAGAGAGAGAAACACCAATGGTTGCCTCCCTCACATGCCCCGACCAGGTATCGAACCCAAAATCTGGGTATGTGCTCTGATTGGGAATCGAACCCGCCACCTTTTGGTGTACAGGATAACACTCCAACCAACTGAACCACACTAGACAGGGCTCTAATTAGTGTTAAATATTAAACAATGTTGATAGCTTCCAATTCTATTCTCACAGCTGAGAATAATAAAACATACTTGTCCAGCACTGTAGAGCTTACAGTATGCTTTACAAACTATAGCTCATGCTGTCCCCATGATATCCATGGGAGGTAGATTGAGTATTATCATCACCCCATTTTTACAGATGAGGAAAGTAATGCCCAGAGAAGTCGGGACATGTCCAATATCACAGAACTAGAAAGTGACTGAGTTGAGTCATGTGTCCACACCCTCTGGCCCTGTATATTCTATATTTTCTCCATGGCACCATGCTGGCCTGAGTTTGTGGGTGTCCATGCCTTTGTGTTTACACAGTGGTCATTAGAGAGTGAGCATCATCTTGTAGTGTAAGGACTAATTGAAACTTGAATTTAAACTTAAACTTGAGCATTCATATTGAGTAGAGAGATTAACAAGTGTGTTACAAAATGGAATTTGTGAATGGAAATAAGGTCCATTTCAAAATATTAAAGAATTGGATGGTTAAAATGTATCACATTTGAGCTCCCCCTGGGGTTAATCTGCCTGCTAAGCTGTAGAGCAGTGGTCGCCAACCTTTCGGACCTCACTGACCACCAGTGATCCTCGGACCACCAGTTGGCGACCGCTGCTGTAGAGTATACACTTTGTAAAACAAGCCATATGACCATTGTTTGAAGCACAATTTTAAATTGTTTTACATAATATTCAGGAAATATTATGTTTAAATGAATTCTCAAGTGTATATTCAGCTTCTAATAGTATAGAACCCCCCTCAGCTGAGCTGAGGCTGGGCAGGCCCCACTGGAGCACATTGTGAATGGTATCTCTGCCTCCTGCAACTTGTTAAATTTAACCATCCTTGCTGGGGCTCGTCCTAGGCCATGGGGTACAGACTGGAACCCTTTCTCTCCTCCTAGGCTTGTCAGAGCCTGATCTGTACCTAACACATTTTGTTTCATTTGATTTAAAAGCAGTTGATCAAAATTTAAATTTATTTAAAAACAATTTAAAGTTGTTTTATTTTTAAATATTATTAATCCATATAAAATTCTGGAATTTTCACATAAAAATCTGAACTCCTAGCTTCTCTTGAAAAAGCAGCTCCCTTGCCCTAACCAGTTTGGCTCAGTGGATAGAGCGTCGGCCTGCGGACTGAAGGGTCCCAGGTTCGATTCTGGTCAAGGGCATGTACCTTGGTTGCGGGCACATCCCCAATGGGGGGTGTGCAGGAGGCAGCTGATCGATGTTTCTCTCTCATCGATGCTTCTAACTCTCTATCCCTCTCCCTTCCTCTCTGTAAAAAATCAATAAAATATATTAAAAGAAAAAAAGAAAAAGCAGCTCTCTTAACAGCAGCCTGCATTCTGCCCAGCAGAAATACAAGGCACCGAGGGGCAGCTGCTCCCCTGGTAGCACCATGTGGCCCCTGGAAACCTTTGAGTTGTGACCCCTGCTCTGAGTGGTGAGAGGAGAGGAGGGCAGGTTATCTCACACTTTTAGTTTTACATGCTTCAGTGTTAGTGAATTTATTTTTACAGATGTTTCAAGTTAAAATAATAGTAATACATTTAAGAGTACAGACAAGTGAGCCAGAGTTGGGTGATTAATTAAGTGCCTGCAGAGCCATCCAGGCAACCAATGCTTGACCTCAGAAAAGGGCAAGGTTTCTAGCGGGGGCGATAGGGGCAGGCTTCCTGGAAGACCAGTGTTTGTGTAACGCCGAAGCAGGAAGCAGGACACCTGTTTGGAACCTGGGTGCCGCAGGGAGTAATGGGAGAGAAGAAAAGCAAGGAGCTTGTGGTTGTTTTTTCTCCAAGAAGTTCTATTTTCAGGCTGTCTCACTGGGCCTGCCTTCTACCTGTGTTGTCGTATGTTCAATATATTTCTCTAAATCAATTGCTTTTTTATTTATATACATTTTTGTAGCAGTTTTTTTAAAGCTTTATTATGGTAAAATATACATAACATAAAAGTTTCCATTTTAGCTATTTTCAGTTGTACAATTCAGTAGTATTAAATACATCCACAATCCTATATAATAAAAGGGTAATATGCAAATTGACCCTAACAGCAGAACAACTGGGAATGACTGGTCACTATGACACACACTGACCACCAGGGGGCAGACGCTCAATGCAGGAGCTGCCCCCTGGTGGTCAGTGTGCTCCCACAGGGGGAGCTCTGCTCAGCCACAAGCCAGGCTGATGGCTGCCAGTACAGCGGTGGTGGCGGGAGCCTCTCCCGCCTCCTCAGCAGTGGTAAGGATGTCCGACTGCAGCTTAGGCATGCTCCCCACTGGAAAGCGGACATCCCCTGAGGGCTCCCGGGCTGCCAGAGGGATGTCTGACTGCCAGCTTAGGCCCGATCCGCCGGGAGTGGGCCTAAGCCATCAGGTGGACATCCCCCGAGGGGTCCCAGACTGTGAGAGGGCACAGGCCAGGCTGAGGGACACCCCGCCCCCCAGAGTGCACAAATTTTTGTGCAATGGGCCTCTAGTGTTATATAATCATCACCACTATCTATTTTCAGAAGTGTTTCATCATTCTAGTGGAAACTCAATCCATTAAACAATTCCCCATTCTCTCCTCCCTATTTTCTTTTATATATATCTATATCTATATCTATCTATCTATCTATATAATTTTTAAAAATTGATTTCACAGGGGAAGAGAGAGTGAGAGAGAGATAGAAACATCAATGATGAGAGAGAATCTTTGATCAGCTGCCTCCTGCATGCCCCCTACTGGGAGTCAAGCCCACAACCTGGCATTTGCCCTGACCGGAAATTGAACTATGACCTCCTGGTTCATAGATTGATGCTCAACCACTGAACCACACCGGCTGGGCCCTCCCACTTTCTATTCTTTTTTTTTTTAGTAGCCCTATTCTACTTTCTGTCCTTATGAATTTACCTATTCTAGTTGCCAAATGTAAGTGAAATCATATAATATTTAGCCCTTTGTGGCTGGCTAATTTTACTTAGCATGTTGTTTTTAAGATTTATCCATGTTGTAGCATATATCAGAATTGCCTTTCTTTTTATGGCTGAATGATGTTCCATGTAGGTTTGTACCATACTTTATCTATTCATCCGTTGATGAACCTTTGATTTGTTTCCACCTTTGAGCTGTTGTACATAATGCTGCAATGAACTTCATTTTAAAGGAAACATCATAGTACTGTTTTAAGTGGAAAACCAATATCATTTTTTAAGTAAACACTATAAAAACAAAGGAATACTGAAGTCTCTAAGGTCAAGCCTTTCAAAGGAAGAGGTCAGCACACTGGAGAGAGGCTGTACTCACTGTTGTACCAGACTGAGGTGGCTTTGACGTAACTGGGATTGAAAAAGAATCCAAAAGGACTGACTTTCTCAGTCTGCGGGGTCAGCAGTATTTGACACACACTTCTCAAGTGCCATCGAAAATCATCTCAGACTATTTTGGGGGAGATGTTGCCAAAAGGAACCAGGGACCTTTCTGAAACACTATTCACCCTAAATTGGTGGATGCATTTCCTGTAGCTGCTGTAACAAATTGCCACAAACTGGGTGACTTGAAACAACTGAGATTATTCTCTCATCGTTCTGGAGGCTAGAAATATGAAATGAAGGTGTTGGCAGAGCCTTTAGGGAGCAAATCCAGGCTCCCAGGGAGAATCCTTCATTGTCTCTTCTGGTGGCCCAGGTATTCCTTGGCTGTGTCTCTGCCTTAGTCCATCTTAACACGGCCTTCTCTGTGTCTGAGTGTCCTTTTCTATCCCTAATGAGAACACTGTCATTGGGTTTGGGACTCATCCTAATCCAGGATGATCTCATCAGGATCCTTCCCTTAACTCCAACTGCAAAGACCCGATTTCCAAATGAGGTCAGACTCTGAGGTTCCAGGTGAACATGAATTGGGGCTGGAGGACACGAGGAAATCCATTGTAGGTGGGTTCTCCTTCTTCCCAGGGGAGGGTTAGTTTCTGAAACTCCAAAAGAATCTGTACGGTGGCTCCACTGCACAGTTCCTGAGAATTGGTTGCCCCACAAACCCAGAGATCAGCCCGTTTCTTTTCACGTGGTCCCAGCCTGAGTCATGAGCTTGTTGTACAGGCAGTTATTTTAAGACTTAATCAGAAGTCATTTGCTTCTATTTTGAGCCTTTCTTAAATGCTATTTTAGTCTTTATGGTAACAGCTGTATATTTATAAGAATACATTTAGTTATTCTTTTGAATAGAGAATTTTGACAAGAAGCCAGACTATCAAGATTGTGGCATAGAAATTTTCATATGAAAAATGACCTGATTTTGCAGTATTTTATAGACTGTGTATTACATGTAGTCATTTTGGGCTTGAAGACCAATATGTGTTTTCCCCCAATCCACCAACAATTAGAGAAATATGTTAATATAGAAAATCCAACTATTATTTCATTCCACCAAAGATGGCAATACCTAGAAATACCTTTCATAATTGCACTTAATATTTGAATCTGGAAGCATGGTGAGGGACTGGCTTGATAGCCATGTCCCAAGTTGTGAGGGCATCAGGAGGGGACTCTTATCTCAGTCAGATGGGGAAATGCAGAGTTGTCTGTGACGGAGAAAAGGCAGAGCCGTCATAGGCACGTGGAGGGTTTACTCTTCCTCTCAGTGAATTGTTTTAGGGCTTACCATTGCCTTTGTCCTGGAGGGTTCCATTTGTGGACTTGTTTTTGAAAGTGTTCTGCTTGAATTGAAAAGTTTTCTACATTAAAATTAATTTTCTTTCCTTAGTAAAGGATAAAAAGCATACAACTGTGTGTTTGGAAGCGATTCATTCTGCTTTTTCTTTTGCTGGTCACCTTTTAAACTCACCCTACTTTTTAAAAATATATATATATATTTATTGATTTCAGAGAGGAAGGGGGAGGGAGAGAGAGATAGAAACATCAATGATGAGAGGGAATCGTTGATCAGCTGCCTCCTGCACAACCCCTACTGGGGATCGAGCCCACACCCCAGGCATGTGCCTTGACTGGAATCGAACCCTGGACCCTTCAGTCGCAGGCCGATGCTCTATCCACTGAGCCAAACAGGCTAGGGCTGTCCTACATTGTTAAATACACTTTTTTTTGGTGGTGGGGGCGTTATTTTTTATTTTCTTGTCTGTCCTCCTGCTTGGTTGTTTTTATCAGGTAGTTATTTAAGCATGGTATGTTTCCACTGGGCCAGGCCTGAGAGAAGAATTACTTTGGCTCTTCATTGATGGATTTAGTTCTTAATTACACAAATTCCACGCCTCTAAAAATACCCATTTTATGTTTACAGGAAGAAGAAATGTTTCGTCCAAATATGTTTTTCCTTCTATTGCTTCCACCTATTATATTTGAGTCAGGATATTCACTACACAAGGTAAGACTCAGACATATATTAGTGTTTTTGGTCTGGGTGGCTTCCTGTGTTGGTAAGGCTAGTTCCTTAGAAGCTTGGGTGTTGATTTAGCAGTGGTGTCTCCGTGTACACATCCTGGGTATGCATGGTAGAAGCTGGACTGGACTGCCTGACTTGTGGACAGGAGCAGACATGGTCAATGGGCTGCTTTCATGGTTTCAGGCAGTGTGGCTTATTAAACTAGTGTATTCCATAGAAGGGAGCTTTGCCTAGGAAGATGGTCAAAGTGATACTAAGTGGTACACGGATGACACAATGACTCTTCTTGTTGGACACAGACTAGCACATGTTAAAAGGATGGAGTTTGTCATGGGTGAACAGGGACATGTACCCTGGGCCTTTTGATTCTCTTAGCTCATCATGTGGGGCCGTTCTCCCTCCTTAGGCCCCTTCATCCTTCAGTATCTCCCCTCTCAGTACCATACCCTGGGCCTCAACTCCCAGCTTGTATTCCCCATCTTCCCCCGCTCCCCAGTCCAGCTACTCTTCATAGGCTGGAGCCCCATCTTTCTGCCTCAACTTCTAGCTCCTTCTGGCACATTCCCCCACTCCCACAGTTGTTCTGCTCATCCAGGCTCCACACTTAAGAGTGGCACTGCTGGCACCTGCATAGTTCCCTGCTTTGCCTTGTAATTTCTGGTCTCTGTTCTCCAACTTCCAGTGGGACTCTTTCTGCCTGGGCGGGAGTTTCTCCCTTTTTAGCTAGTTTTGTGTGTGTGCATGGGTTTTTTTTCTTTGCCTATGAGTTTTCTTTAAATGTAAATGTATTTAAGTTTTAAAATACACAGTTCAACTTAAAATGTTAGTAATAAAGTTATTTTGTGAGTATGGTAAAAAATTATGAAGGTTGAAAGGACTAAGATTTGACCTACCATTGGAAAGAGGAAAGAGCCTGGGCTTTGGAGCCAGAGACCAAGTTCTAATCATGTGCTGCCCCCTATGGATTGCTTTTGGGTACAGCAGAAATTCAAAACAAAAAACAAAAACAAAACACTACCTCTCAGGTTGCTTTGAAATTTACACTAGCCCTAGCTGGTTTGGCTCAGTGGATAGAGCATCAGTCTGTGGACTGAAGGGTCCTGGGGTTGATTCCAGTCAAGGGCACATGCCCAGGTTGCAGTCTCGATCCCCAGTAGGGGGTGCGCAGGAGGCAGCTGGTTAATGATTCTCTCATCATTGATGTTTCTATCTCTCTCTCCCTCTCCCGTCCTCTCTGAAATCAGTAAAATATTTTTTTTAAAAAAAGAAATTTACACTAGATGAAAGAATATGTGCAAAGCACCACCCATTACGTTAAATAAATGGTAGTGCTTCTTGTTATTAATAATACTTATTATTACTAATATTAATATTACTAGTAGTAGTATGAGCAATAACATAATAAAGACTTAATTTGTCAAGAAAGTTTTGGTTAAAACATACAAATTAATCTCTAATTTTTCCCCTGGGTACCAAAGCAAAAATATTCTAAGATGTTCAGTTCAGAATTTTTAAATTGTTATTTTATTATTATTATTTAGTCCTTACCAGAGGATATTTTTTTATTGATTTTCAGAGAGAGTTGAAGGGAGGGTGGTGGGGAGGAGAGAGAGAGAGAAACATCAACAACGTCAGAGACACATTGATTGGTTACCTCCTGCCCGCACCCCAACCAGGATTGGGGATCTAACTGCAACCAAGATATGTGCCCTTGATCGAGAACTGAACCCACGACCCTTTGGTTCATGGGCTGACACTCTAACCACTGAGAAAAACCAGCCAGTGCTATTTTATTGTACATTTATCCACCTGAAATGTGAAAAGGAAGTTTAATTTTAAAAAAAAATCCCAAGTCTTATAAATTACTGACATCAGGTAATTGTTAAAAAGAAAACAAGCAAGGAGAAATTGAAAGTCAACATCTTTTATTCTTTCATTTCATAAATAATTCTTAAAAGAACTATCAGCAGATTATGAAAATATTTCAAAACAAATTTGAGGAAATTATTTTGACTTAAAAACATAACACTGATTACTATATTAGAGCTTGGAAAGTTTTATTTTCTAATTTTTTGAGGGAAAGAAAATAAACTTGTTAAAAATTTGAGGAAAATAATAGTTTTTAAAAAATCATTTCTTGACTTGGGATAGTGAACACATAATACAATATACAGATGATGTATTACAGAATTGTACACCTGAAACCTATATAATTTTATTAACCAATGTCACCCCAATAAATTCAATTGAGAAAAACAAACAAAAAAATAATCTCTTTGAAGATGGCTTTCCAGCAGAGAATGTGATAATTTATGTGAAAGGTACTAATGTGATTTGGAAATGTGAATTCAGAACTGTCTACTTCTTACCTTCCACCAAAGAAGATAGGAAGTCAACTCTGAATGTTTTATTTTAATATTGCTATATTTGCAAATGTAAATTTGGACTTGGAATAAAAAATTCAGTAAGACTATTCTAAGTTGATATGCATTAGGTAGACAGGTATTAGCTCTTTAAATTATTAATATCATACAAAGGATAGAATGATAAGTATGTCAGAAACAGATATATTCACTTTGTATAGCAAAGGGAAATTCTTATAGTGTGGTAACTTGTATTTGGGTAAATTTTCAATATCCAGATTAATATTAACCAACTACATATATTTATCAGAATTAGCTCCCTATAAACAGACCAAGACTTAGTTTAATCTATCCTATATAATAAAAGCCTAATATGCAAATCAACCAAACAGTGGAACGACCAGTTGCTATGACGAGCACTGACCACCAGGGGACAGATGCTCAACGCAAGAGCTGTCCCCAGCCCGCAGGCCCCAGGCCAGCCAAGGCGGGTGCCAACGGGGACCCCCCAATCGCCCCACCGGTCGCCCCACAGATGGGCCCTGATTGCCAGCCAGGCCTACGGACCCTACCCATGCATGAATTTCATGCACTGGGCCTCTAGTTTTAAAATAACAAAATAAAGCAGCTTTTTGCAAAGACAAACTCATAGATGAAAGCCTTTTGTTTAGAAAAAAACAATCATTGTGTTTGACTTGAGTTATTTGAAAGTTCCTTGTGCGCTAAGGATTGATATGCCAAGCAAAGTAATTGAATGCCAGATTATGGGCAGCCGAATCAAAATTGCAATGAATAAAGCAAAGAAACTTCCTGAAGGAGACAGGATTAGTGAGTTGTCAGGGTTAAGCTGAGCACACCCTTTTGAAGTGAGCTTTAAAATGTCAGTCCCTGTTGTCTATGGCTTGACAGCTCCTGAGTGAAAAGATGGGATCCCTTGTCCACGCTCACAGTCAAGGGGTTGTCATTGTTCCCTGGTGTTGCTCCTAAGTGTGTCCACAGGATTCTAATAAACAGCTAATTTTCTTAATTTTATGGAAATGTGAAAGATGCTACCATGCTACTTGGACTCAAATATTTTCTCTTAAATGCCATAGAGTATAGATGGAAATATATTTTATCTGTCATATTTATATTTGATGATGATAGAGTGAAATAAAATTGTTTAAAAGACCTAGAAAGCAGAAAGGAGTTTCTGATAGTATAATCTACTGTCTTAACACTGTAGTAATGCAACTTTTCTTAATTAAACAAAAAATTATAATTGTTTAAACTTTGGACTTTGATCAGACATGAAACACGATTAATTACTTTGGTACCTACTCAACTGGGCATCTTTCATCTGACAAGCATTATTTCAGTGACGTTGTACAAAAGCAGGTGTGGTCATTGCCCCTGTTGAGCCTGCAGCCTCGTGGGAAAGACAGATATCAGTCAAATCGTTACATAAATAAATGTAAATTTTCAGCCATATCAAGTGCTGCCAGGAGAGGGTCATTATGCATTGAGAGCATAGATCAGGATTTGACCTTGCTAAGGGATCAGAGAAGGCTTCCCTCAGGAAGAGTGTCCTGAGAACTTAGGGTGATTAGAGTTCACCAAGCAAAGAGGAAGGAAGAGTGGTCCAAACCCAGGGAGCACAGTACGCTTGAAGAACAAAAAACCACCAATGTGACTGGCATCCAGAAAACAAAGGGGAGGGCGTTAGAGGCCTTCACAGGGGGTTGAACCATCCAGGCTTTGGTTGGGTTTTAGCTGCATTTCGAGTGGAAGTGGGGGTCAGAGTGAAGGTAGCACAATCAGATTTGTCTTTTGCAACGATCATTCTGGAAGCCCTTGGAGGGCAAGGAGCCAGGAATGGTTGAGAGTTGCTAGAAGCTATTAAAGTGGTCCTGGGGAGAGATGATGGTGGCTTGGGCAAGGGCGGTGGAGATGACGATGGAGAGAAGCAGGGAGATGTGAGTGTCATGGGGAAGGTAAAAGCAACAGGCGCTGTATTAGATGTAGGCATGAGAGAAGACTCCCAGATTCCTAGCTTGCCAAATAGGTAGTGCCCTTCACAGAGAATCAAGCATGTCAGGAGGGCCAGGTGTGGGGGCCATGCCTTCATTGACTGGGCCAGTTTTTCTAACCATTTCTCTCATTTCTGCTCTTTCAAACAGGGTAACTTCTTTCAAAATATTGGTTCCATCACCTTGTTTTCTGTTTTTGGTACAGCAATTTCTGCTTTTGTAGTAGGTGGAGGAATTTATTTTCTGGGTCAGGTAAGAAAAAACATCTGAAAATTTTTGAAAATCTTACATTCTTAGAGCTAGTGCAGGGAGGTGGGGTAGGGACACCTCATGGGACCTGGGGTTCACATTCAAGGTAAATGCTCCCCTGGAGGGAAATCCAGACTTATATGAGGCACAGTAAAGTCATGCTAAACTTGTGTTTCAACTCAGTGTCCTCGAAGAGCTTTGATGTCTGGAGTTGAGTGAATTTTTCCCATAATCCTCAAAAGTGTTTGTTTGCTCTTACTAGCAAATCAATATTGTCTTACGTTGGAATGCCTAAAAATAAAGCAGACTAGATATCACCAAGATCTTCAGATTATAACAATATCAGTTGTGTTGTTAGGTATACCGAATCAGGGTTAAATGCTCATTTTTAAATTGAAATTTGTGTTTCAAAAATTACAGATGATTCTGAATATGTTCACTCAATTCTAACTCATCCATCTGTAGAGTTATACACTCTGGATTTTCCACCATTGCTAAACCAGTTCCCAATATTATCAATTGGGTGTTTGAGGTTCAAATTATTTGAATTCATTCAAGTCAGACCCACCTAGGAAGGTAGTATCTGTGGTTTTGCATTATGCACATTTGTGCAGGTCAGTTCTTTTCCTTTCTGGTCAGTAGCAGGAAGTTTACCTGCCCCAGTTCTGTAAAGTTCGAGGTTCAGACAGCTGGGCGACAGGCAGATTTCTCCTATTTGTATCAGATGCACTTGCTTCCTTTGATGGCTGTAGGCTAAAGCCCATTCCATCTGATTTCACCTTCACTGCTGCCTCAGTGGCACCAGAATAAATGTCTGTCCTGCAACCTTCTTCATTGCCCAGCTTCTAGTACCAAATGGTAATAAACTTTAGAGAAGAAAACTCTTCTAAATTTGGCTTGAAAAATGTAGCATTCTTTGCCATACTTCTGTGGTATGATAATTGGATGCATGTCTAAACTAAAACTTGGGACTTTTTAAAAATGTTCAAGTGGTTTGAGGACTGAAGATGAATGTCCTTATCCATTTGTGATAAAGCACTAATGGACATTTTAATCTTCTTGGCTGTTCTCCAGGGGATTTTTTTGTGTCTGTGTGTTTGTGTGTTTTATTTTACAGGCTGATGTAATCTCTAAACTCAACATGACAGACAGGTAAATCTTTCATACTCTAACACTACGTGACTACTTTTGAGACTCAGGAAGGAGTTCTCCGTATTAGTTCCTGGGTGTGGTACCTCTCTGTTCTTTTTCTCTCTTTGTTTTGCTGATGATTTCTCTGTAGAATCTATTCTGAATTAATTCGGGTCCCTGGAATTAATCAAAACTAATCAAGGAAATTTTGAAGATCCCTAGTCAGACATTGCTGATTGGAACAATTAATTTAGTTTAAGCTCTGGAAGGAATAACTCTTGAGTTAACTGCCCCCCAAACACACACACACCACATGCTGCACCATTGTTTTATTGTTAAGAATTCTCTTCAACTGGATTTATATCTTTTCAATGGCCACAATGAAAGTTGTCTTTTCTTTGATTTATTAGGGATGGAGGGGGGAGTGAGGTGTGAATATTTTTGCTCTGAATTTCCACCAAATTGGGTGGAGGTCCACTAGGGGAGCAGACGGGGCCAAGGGTTCTACTGCGCATGTCCTCCTCATTCTGAAATTACTCCAGTGAGCTCTCAGAGCTGCTGCCTCGGAGCCCAGTCCAGGAACTTCCATAATTAGCTTAGCAAGAGGCCACCTAGGCAGCTGTCTCTCAGATGGTGCCAGATTTAGTACTGAAAAAGTGCACAAGCAGAGTTCAGCCTGGTTTCCCCGCTCTGAAAGTCCAGTGAGGATGCAGCCCTGCTCTGTGTTTCTGCATCGACAGCACTTGGTTCTGTCCTGTGGCACAGCTCAGGGAGCACTCAGGAAGCGGGAGCACTCGGCCCGAGTTCCTCTCATCCGGTCAGCCAGAGCTTTCAGCCTCTAGCAGCACCTTGGGGACTCGAATCTTGGAGCCCTTTCCATGGGCAATGTGCCTCTGATAACATTAGGTCCAATCTCTTTTCTCCCAGGGACATAAATTTCAGTGTTTTGGTTGTAAGATAGTTTTGATATATAAACAAGTAGCAAAAGTCACATTCCTATTCTATAAAGAACTGGAAATAAAACAGAACTGGTGCCCTGCATTTTGTAGGTGTGTTGCCAGTGAAAAGAAATGCCCCAAGCCCAATCCAAGTAAAAAAAGAGGTCCCAGTGTTCAGTCCTTCAACCTGTTTGGGGGCAACTGGTTAGAGACACAGAAAATGCTTGATAAATTCTTATAAAATTGAATTGGGCGGATGCTTGGGATGTTCAGGCGAGGAGTAAGAGAATTGTTCCTTAGACAAGCAGAATAACAGCCAGGTAGAGTTTCTTTCTCTGGGTGCAGACACTTCGTTTCCTGTGGAAAGTGACTGTCCCACAGCTGGGGAGTGTTCTGCAGGGCCTGGCAGAGCACGCCACAGGGGAAGCTGGCCCGGTGGTGACAGGGAACCAGAGAGCATGCCTGTCTGAAAGGAACAGCCACTTCTCAGCTCCACCTAGTAATCACTGTTATGAGCCCAGAATTACTAGATATTAAAAAATTGTTTTCGGTCCACTGGCGTGGCTCTAGTTGGGTGTCGACCTATGAACCAGGAGGTCACGGTTCAATTCCCAGTTAGGGCGTATGCCGGGGTTGCAGGCTCAATCCCCAGTGTTGGGCGTGCAGGAGGCAGGCAATCATTGATTCTCTCTCATCATTGACTTTCTATCTCTCTCTCCTTCTCCCTTCCTCTCTGAAATCAATAAAAGTGTATTTTTTAAAGTTTTTTTCAAAAGAGGCCAGGTTTTTAGATATTAATAGGGAATTTTCTGCTTTTCAAATGTGGACAGTTTATTCATTTCTTTAAAACACCATGCAAGTCAAACATGGGACCCACAGACCTCTGCACTAGAGAAAACATTAAACCTAAAACTTTGTTGCACTCTATTTTAGTGATATTTCTGCTGGAGAGATATTTTACTCTTCAATGCACCCTGAATTATTTCACCATCCTAGACTGTTTCCTTTTTGGTTTTTTGATGTTGCTATCCTTTGAGATGATGGAATCAAGAAAACACACTTTTAAGTTGAACTTCTAGCTTCTGATCTTCTTAAAAAACTGGGTCATGAAGGTGTGAAATGGAGCAACTGATGGCAAGGTCACATGACCCCTTAGATTCAGGCCTCTTGATGACTCAGGCAGGTCATAGTTCAGACTTTTCATAGTCTCTGTCGGAAATGCCCTGCCCCAATTTAGATTCCCAACCAAAGCTAAATGTGTTATATAATTTATTCAAAGCATTTCCCCCAACCCTTTATTATGAACATACAGCAAAGGTGTACATTGTACAGTGGACACCCACATGACCGTCACAATGTCAGGAATCTCTTCTCCGCTGTCCCAGCTCAGCTGTTCCCTGATTCACTTTATCCTTGGGCACGTTCACTCCATGTGGCCACACTGATGGCTCTGGGCTCACGTCTCCCCTCAACCATCCCTGCCAAAAGGGCCAACCTAATTCCCCATGACCTGGTGATGACCCTTGTTCACCAAGCCTGGGTCCCCTACCCACTCCTAGATGCCCAACGCAACTACATGGATGGAGGGAGAGTAGGGGAGGTGGCTCCCCAAAGGAAAATTGGGGTGCTATACCAAAACCAGGGTGCATGGGTGTTCAGGAGGGAGAACCATGCCTGTCTGCTGCACGGCACTATAGGGTGGAGGGAGGGGCCAGCTGAGCCGAGCAAAGTCAGCACACAGCACACAACCCACCAGAGGCTCCCAAGCTCTCCCCACCCCTTCTCCGCCCCCTCCACTTCAGAATACACTTTTTAGACCTTCTTCTTCCTTCAAGGCCCCTGCGATGTCAGCATGGGTGATGAGAGTGGGGATAAAAGAAGAGAGATGAGAAGGTCTGAGCCTGGGTTGCAGCACAAGGGCTTCAAGGCCAGCTGCCAACCACACAGGGCAGTCGTTTGGTGGCATTGCCTGTCCTTCCCTCCCGCCCACTCTCCACAAACCTCTCTGGGCCATGCTCAGTACCACTCCTGGGACTATACCCATGACCAAAACACAGTACCCTCACCATGGCACTCACTGAAGGCGAGAGGCAGGCAAGGTCACAGCTCATAAGACATGTGACAGCTTCTGTGCGGACAGAAAGTGTGGGAACTGGCTCTGAGCTGAGCCTGTCTTTTGGGTCTGGTCCTCAGCTTGGGGTCCAGAGGCTCTCCTTGAGGTGAGCAGGCTCTCCTGGTAGAATTCACCTGAGTCACGCTCACAGGGAGCACCCAGGAAACCAGAACTGTAACTGGGAAGGCAGCCGAGCATCTCCCCCGCCAGCACCCCTCTCCCGGAGCCCGAGTCCAGTGACCAATCAGGGTTGCTGCTGATGGCGGAGTGGACAGAGACGAGTGACTACCTCTTCCCTCGCAGACTGCAGGCTGGTGAGGGCGGGAACCAGAGGGCTTACATCCCTCATGCAGGGCTGTCGTTGGGGCTGCGTGTTTTGCCTGTGATGTAGGAGGAGCAGACTGACCATTCTGCTGGCGTAGAAAGAAGGCAGCGCCGGGCATAGCAGTGTGAGGGAATAGGAGGCTTCAGGAACACTGAGGTAGAAAACAGGCAAACTGCTGAGAGAACGAATCATCCAGACTCCTCAGTGGCCCACAAGGCCCCATGGAGTGATCTCCCTGGCCACCCTCTACCATCTCCTGCCACTCGCCCTCACCCTCACCCTCACTGTACAGCTGCCACACTCGCCCTTTCGTTTCTCAGGCAACCAAGCTGAGTCCCACTTCAGAGGTAGCTTGCTGTTGCCACGGCCCCCAGATCTTGGCCTGGCCATCTGCTTCTTGTTCAGATAAGTCATTTCTTCAGAGGCCTTTCCTGACCACCCAATGTAACTGTCTCCCCACCCCTGGCCCCTGCCAGGGTACTCTTCTCTCATCACCCCGATTTCCTGTGTAAAACATGCCGTTTCTGAATTGGTCTGACTGGATATTGCTATATCTAGTGGGGTGGTTAGGGGCAGCGACTCTGAGCCAGATGCCCTGTGTTTGAATTCTTGTTCGCTGTCCCACCTTGGACAAGTTCCTTAACATCATTGTCCCTCAGTTTTCTCCAATGTAATCGGGGCAGTAATAGTGCCATCTCCTATGGTGAATCACTGAGTTACTATATGTAAAGTGCTTAAGTGCCTGGGACATGGTAAGTGCCACAGAAATGTTTGCTGCTATTGTTACCTTCGGTGCCTGAAACACATTTGGCCATTCGTACATATTTGTTGGAGGAAATGAGACCTTCATGGGGACTGTGGACGAGAGCCGCTGGCCTGGTGGGAGGCAGCACTGGGGCAGGTGCCTGCCAGCCAAGCTGCCATCCTCTGAAGCACCTAGAGCTGCTGCTGGCTCTTGGCATTTTTTTAGATGTTACACATATGAGTGGAGGCTGAGGTCGGTCACAGATGGTGGCATAGGGCAAAGCAGAGGTCAGACCCAGGAGCCCATGGGTCATTTGGGGGAGGCCCCTGAGCTATCATGGTTCCAACTGCTCTGACCAAAAAGTCTGGGAACTTTAATGCATTTAAGCAAAAAACTTCCATCCATCGCTGGTCAAAGTGTTAATACTTATAGTGGGAAACCAGGCCATTCCTAACAACTCTTAGAGTGGGCATTTCACTGCTCCACCCACAATGTCAATTCACAGGTAGCACAGGGAAAAATAGGGCATCTTCTGTCATTTCTTTAGCTCTAGCGTGTGTATTATTATATCAAATACATTCCCCGGCTTTAATGCTTTAACGTGGACCAAGTGATGAGCGTTTCAGAGTTTGCCCTTCCTGTTCCCTTCTTTACAGTTTTGCATTTGGCTCCCTAATTTCTGCTGTCGATCCAGTGGCTACTATTGCCATTTTCAATGCACTCCACGTAGACCCAGTGCTCAACATGCTGGTTTTTGGGGAGAGTATTCTCAACGATGCAGTCTCCATCGTCTTGACCAAGTAAGTGTGCTCTCTTCAAGGGACAGAACTGAAGGTCCCAGTAACAAAGGGACGGATGTTTCCATGCAGTCGTGTGTGCGGTTGCTTGTCCTCTGGGTGATCAGTTCACCCGCTTCTCCATCTTTCTGTCCTGACAAGCCCTGATGTGCCCTAGGGATGCTGTCAAGGTCCAGAGTGATCCCCCTTTTATGACCTACCTCTTAGCAGTAGTTTTGAGCGCAGCTTCCCATCTGCACCACTGGGGATGCTTATTAAATGAAGCATTCCCAGGCCCCACCCTCAGAGCTTCTAAGTCGGTGACTGGTCTGGGGTGAGTCCTAAGAACTTAGGTTTATCGGTGACGGAGCAGCTGGTTGAGGGATGAGAGTGTGGACTGCATTGTTACAGACGACGATAGACAGAGTCCTTTCTCTCCTGCTTAGGAGTTGTTGCAGGTCACCTTCCTTTTCACAGCCATAAAAGAAGGTAGTGAGACTAATAGGCATCCCTTCTTAAGATGCTGTTGGGTGAAAGCCACTTTGGAAACTGCAGATCTTTTTCAAATGTTCATTGGTATTATTGCCCTTGTTGATAGTCTCTGAGACATTAAAGGGGAGTCATCAAATGTCATTGGGGAAAGGAAATGAATTCAAGATCATTTCAAATGTGTTTATTTGATGCAGGGCTATTTCCTTGACCTCTGCATTTTGTGGTGTTCTTTAGCATGCGTGAGCTGGAGACCCAAACAGTTTTGCCAAAAAAACAGAAAAGGCACCAACAGTCAAAGCAGCTGGAGAAGAGAGCCCTGTGTAGTGTGTCAGAGACGAGCCATGAGAATTGTAGGAGCCAGCCAGTATTCTGTTAGAGAATAAAATTTCCACGGCCTGAATTCTGTCTGATTTCCTTTGTCGAAAGGTTCCTTACTAAGCCTAACACTCTGTGGTAGTTAGCATTTTCTTAAAAGCTTTATTATAGACTACATAAGAAATTCTGACGTTGGACTAAAGGATGTTTTATAGTGGAAAGAATCCCAATTTTGGAGTCAGGCTGACCTGGGCTCAAGTCCTAGAGGTGCCACTGATAGCTGTGTGTTCCTGGGTTGGCTCCTTTACCTCTCTGAGCCACAGGTTTCTACGTACTCAAGTGAGGGTGATAAAGCCTCCGCCTAGGATTGGATTTGAGGATTGAATAGTTAAGTGTGGGGCTATGTGAAAAGCATCTTACGTCAATTAATGTGAGACCCTTTCCTCTTCTCCTCCTGCCCCTATTATTGTTTCATTGTTTGCCCTGTTTTTAGCCTACTTTGTAGGAAGAACTTATCAAAGGTTGCCTATATTTTATTTTTTAAATATATTTTTATTTCAGAGAGGAAGGGAGAGGGAGAGAGAGATAGAAACATCAATGATGAGAAATTGATGAACTTATATCCTATATATTGTACTGCAGCTTTTCCATTGAACAGAGTTGATAAAATAATCTTCTACAACATCGTTTTACTGGTTATAGAATATTCCTTTCTATGGATTTACTTTGATCTATTTGACCAATTCCCTGTTATTGCCTTTTTCACATTTCTCTTGGTAAAAATTTCTGTAGCTTCATTAGGAAATTCTCATACATCATGCTATAAGACCTTTAAGAAATCTGATGGTAATATATTTTTCTTATTTAAGATCTACCCTGTAAGCTTCTTAGCTTTTGGGTTTTGACTTTTATCTCATATTCTGGCTGCACATATTGAATATTTGTGATAAAGAATTTTGCCCAAATTGGAGATGACATCATGAGTTATTTTTATACATTAGGAGCTAAACTCAATGGCTTTGTCTCTAATTTATTTATTCTTTTAAGAATCTGTCAAAAGTAGGACCTTTTCTGAGCTTTTCCATGTCTCTTTGCCACAAAAAGGCCAAGGATTAGGCAATAACTTTCTTTTTAAAATGAGAAATGATGGAGTCATTCATTATAAGTAGCCAAAGGTTCTTCCTGGAAAAAGTGCTTTTGAAGGCCAAGATCACCTATGATGACAGTTCCCCCAAACTGCATCTGTGGACCACATGCATAGATAGTTTCCAGCCTCCACCTCCACCACTGCTGGGACACAGGCTTTGGTAGGAGTCACTAACTAAGCCATGTCCAGCCTCGCTCACTCTCCAGACATGCTACAGGCTGGTCATCGCCCTCAGCATGTGGTGATGGCCTCTGTGTTCCAGACACTGTCCAGAGACCAGTTGGACTTGACAAATTCAATCCAAGGTGAGAGAAAGATGTTCACAAGGAAGTGAACACAGTGGTGCAAGGGGGAAATAGTCACTCTGAAGGATTCGAGTGAGGTTTCTCAGGGGAGCTGTCTTGTGAGCCATTTTCAGTTAGAAGAGGGAGAAAGGAGCATGGTGGGCGTGCCCTTTTTTGCATTATAGGAGGGAGCTGTTGTCAGCATTCCTTGGTTTATAAGGTAGAATCACGTCTTGTTTTTAAGGGTATACTTAATAAATGATCGTTTTCAAAGTGATCTGACACATTTATCTTTGCAACTGAATATAGGAATGAATTACCCCTTTTTTAAATATGTTTTCAGATTTCAGAGAGAGGAAGGAAGAGGGAGAGAGACGGAACCATCAATGATGAGAGAGAATAATGATAGGCTGCCTCCTGCATGCCCCCTACTGGGGATCAAGCCCACAACCAGGGCATGTGCCCTGACCAGGAATCGAACCAGTAACTCCTGGTTCATGGGTGGACGCTCAACCACTGAGACACACTGGCCCAGCATACCCCCTTCTTTAATGTTTTCACTTTCGTAGTGCCAGAAAGTTAAGAAGTATCTTTGGTTTCTTCATTAACTTTAATTAAATTATTTTTAGCTTTGATTTGCTACTATGACAATTTATTCTTAAAATAATTGCTGTAGAGGAAACCTTTTGTTCTCTCCAGCTACAGCTTAAGCTCATGAAATGGAACCTGAAGCAGCATTGTCTTATATTCTTAAGGTGTGAGAAACATGACCTGAAAAAATAAAATGTAGAAAATTACCAGGCCAGAAAGAGTCCAATTCTGCTTTCATTTACCTTGAGTTTAGGAATCATTGGCCTAAGCCTTCTCTCCATAAAAAGAAAGCAGGACACTAGCTGGTGTACCATCTGAGGGAGTCATCTGTGGTGGGGGCTAGATACTTACTGTATGCATGTGGCCCACAGATCATTTGGGAACTGTGGGTGATCTTAGCCTTCAAGAGCACTTTCCCAGTAAGAACCCTTGTTGGATCCCAGTATTTCCCAAGGTGGGGTGTTAACCTGTGATCTACTAGGAAAGAAAGGAATGGGGGGAGGGGTATTGTACATTTAGTGAGTTTGAAAAACATTTGTGTGAAAAAAAGTTAGATTAATTTTTTTTGCAAGACTTCCCAGAACCTTTATTATGTTACATTGTACAGTGAATTGCCATGAAAGGCTTCCTGAAGTTATTTGATCAAGCTATCAGATTATCAGAGATTATCTTGCTTTAAAATTATACCAATTCATGAAATGTTGAGTAATGAAGCTGAATATTACTATTGACAATTCTTCGCTTTGTGTACTGATTCAGCAAAAATTTATTGAGTGTCTTTTGTGGGCTAGGCTCTGCCTCAGGCCTTGGACATACTGCAGTTAAACAGGATTGGTACTCATGGAACGATTAGTTTTCACATGCTGTGGAGAAGGCGAGCCACAGGAGAGCCGGTAAATGGCTGGCCTGTGCAAAGGGGTCCCTGAGGAAGTAACACTGACCTTGGGTTCTGAGAAACAAACCGGGAAGTTAGGGAGGCCAAGGACATGAAAGGTGACCGTAAGGAGGTGCCAGTCACAGTGGGGCCTACCCTGAAGGAGGAGAAATGGGATCAAGAAGTGTGGCAGGGAGAGGAGTCAGGTGGAAACAACATAGGGATTGGGCCGGGGAATAGAAAATAACGGTGGCCAGGAAACCAAGTTAAGAAGGAACGCAAAAATGTCACCACCCCTCCACTCTCTACTCTAAAACACAGAGGTAGCTGATTGTATCTCCCTTCTAACTGCCTGCTTAAACTACTGACCCGCATGCACAGTTGATCAAGGTTTGACTGCTATATGACCTTCCCAGGGTGGTGGTAACAGGCAGTCCACCATCTTGCCCCAGTAGCACAGGTGTGGATGTAGTTACCAAGCAGCAGGAAAAGGAAGTCACCCCACCCTGAAATGGAAAATTCTGCAAGCCTGACTTTTTTAAAGCCTGCCTTATGGCGCAAGCCTTTTTTGTCCCCAGGTTATAAAAGCAGCCAAGCAGAGCCAGCCCCAGAGCCAGTTTAGAGGACCAGCCTTTCCTCTGTGCTGCCTCCCTGGTGCTCGAGCATAAGCTTAATAAAATCTGTCTGGAAATTTCTCGGGGGGTTCCTGTTGACTTCTATCGTGGGTAACTCAAGAACCCCAACTCTGTTAACACGGTTATACTAAGAAGACTAGGCTTCCTCCTACAAAGCAGCAGGAAACTGTTGATGGTTTTGAACAGGCCAATAACTTGATCAAATGGGAATTTTATGGGGATCATTCAGGCCATTGAATGAAGAATGGGTTGACCCTAGGAAGACAAGGAGGTATAGAGAGAGCAATGGGACAGCAGATAGTAGGGCAGAAAGGGAGAGAAGTGGATAGATTTAAGAGACAACCTGAAGGTAGGATCAGACTGCAAGAGAAGGATATTTAATGAGAATAACTCCATTTTAATGGCATAACAGTTTTCCCTTTGGGGATAAAACCAACAATTGAATTCAATGGCTTCTGACAGTTTTACTTTGTTCTTTTACAATGAAAGAAAAGTTCTTCAATTCTTCCTCCTAATGCCTCCTAAATCCACCCTCTCTGTACCCATCAGCTGTACCCAATGACAGTTCTTCTTTAGGTGGCTCCATTCTAATCTGACTTCATGCCAGAGCCTTAATTTCCAGTTTTACCACAGGATCCCCCCATACTAGAAATACTCCCAGGGCCTTCAGGATGAAATACCAACTCCTTCGCCTGGTTCATCAAAAGCCTTTCACAGGTCCTGTGCTGCCTGCTGCTCTGGCCTTACCTCTTGTCACTGTCCACCCCACCGCACAAACACCCCCATTCTTTTTCTGTATTTTATCCATACTAACCCCTGTAATCGAATGCTCCCAGAATGTGCTTGTATTCTCAGGCTCTCTGCCTCTGCACATGTTGTTCCCTCTGCTTTCCCTCATTGTTCTTTATCCCAAATCTTCATATGTTATGAAGAACCTCCTTGAGGTTAGATGCCCACTTTGTGTTTCTATAGCCCTTTGCCCTTACCCCAGATGGTCATTAGTTCCCATCTCTTTAAACTGGGGCACTTCCTTAAGGGCAGGGCCTTTGCGCTCATCTCTGAACCCCCAGAAACTGGCATAGTACCTGGAACAAAGCAATGTGTGACTCACTAATTGATGGACCGAACGAATGACAGAATAATCAAGGAATAAATTTTGAGTTCTAAGTTAATTTCTAATAACTTTGTCTATAACATTTTAACTTCTTTCTGTTTTTCTTTTATTTCCTAGCACAGCTGAAGGTTTAACAAGAAAAAATATGTCAGATGTCAGTGGGTGGCAAACATTTTTACAAGCCCTTGGCTACTTCCTCAAAATGTTCTTTGGCTCAGCAGCGCTCGGCACTCTCACTGGCTTAATCTCTGCATTAATATCCTTTTACTATGATGAACATGTGTGGCTGAGAAGATTATTCCTAATTATATCCATCTTTAGCCATTTTCTCCTATTCCTTAAGGGGACCAATTTTAGTCTAAGGTTGGGTTTGATGGAGGATTTTTATGCTTAGTTGTGGTTTGAGGAGCACTTTCATTTAAACTCAAGGACTTTTTAAATTTAACATGTGAAATTTAGGGTGTCACTTTTTAAAGCTTAAAAAACATGTACACTGTTGAATATTAGATCTGATTTGGGAGACTTCTTAGTTCCTAGAGAATGATAACCACATTCAGATAATTTTCACTTTCTGCAGTCTCTCTTTTCACATTCCAAAAATTGGAAATTAATTTCCTTTGAAAATGTCAAATTGAGAAAATCTGGAAGTGTTTATCTGAAAGGACCAGAAAAGAGACTTTCAAAGTGAGCTCATCTGAGTTATTTGCAGATTTTCTTGCTTAACTACCCATAAGCTTTTCCAGGCAGAGAAGGAAAGAGGCTTGTGAAGCCCAGTGACACCTTTATTGCTGTAGAAAATTCGTCATGTTCTAACAGGAATAGGCACCAGACCACTTCTGTGCGAGCCTAAGCCTGCGTCTCGGGGAGCTGCCACCTGGCCCTCCTCCAGGAGCAGTGTGTCGCACAGATGGCCGGAAAAGCCTCTTTTGCCTGTGACAGGCATGTTTGTCTGCCATCCTGTTGAATTTTTCCTTCGACTCCTGTGTCCAGAAGTCTAAAGGCTCTAGTGAGTTGGTTGACAGCTTCTCATATTGTACCAACAAACAGAATGGGAAATAAACTTTATCCAGCTCAGTACTCTCCTCCTTATTTATCTTTTTCTTAAAAAGAGTCGGGGGAGCATCTGCTATAATGAATCCAGGTGAATGGGTGCTGTGAGTTCCAGCAAGGGCATGTGAACAATATTTGGAATATGTAAAAGACTTTGACAGATGAGTTTGAAAATCTCCAGGAGTAGGAAAAGGGGCCCTTCGATGGGGCATTGAACCCCAAAGTTCTGGAAAACGCCATTAGTTCATCTCATCTGATGCAGGAAGAGGAGGTAAAAGAGTAACAAGGCCCAGAGGGACCTGGCACTGTGGGCTATCCTCAGCCCATCTGCAGCACCAGCTTTGCCCCCCCCCCCAGGCCTGGCACATTCCTAGTCTTCCAGGTCAGCATGTTTAAAAGATATTTTAAATTGATTTTTAGAAAAAAAGGAAAGGAGAGGGAGATAGAAAGAAACATCAATGTGAGAGTGAGACATTGGTCAGCTGCTTCCTGCACACCTCCTACTGGGATCAAGCCCACAACCCAGGTATGTGCTCTGACTGAGAATCAAACTGGTGACCTTTCAGTGCGTAGGATGATGCCCAACCAGCAAAGCCATGGCCAGGGCCCAAGTCAGTTTTTTAAAAAAAATATATTTTGTTGATTTTTTTACAGAGAAGAAGGGAGAGGGATAGAGAGTCAGAAACATCGATGAGAGAGAAACATCGACCAGCTGCCTCCTGCACACCCCCCACTGGGGATGTGCCTGCAACCAAGGTACATGCCCTTGACCGGAATCGAACCTGGGACCTTTCAGTCTGCAGGCCGACGCTCTATCCACTGAGCCAAACCAGTTACGGCCCAAGTCAGTATTTTTAACTGAGTTAACTTAGGTTGATTTTAATCCCACCCCCCCTTACCATTTGTCTCAAGAATTTACATTTCTTACTTTATCAGATTCCCTTTCTTAAAACAACTGTCTCCCTGCAAAGAAAAAAAATCCATGATGACAGGCTTTCAATTGTTACCTTAGAATGTTGCAAAATCTTCTATCTATTGTTCAACTTATATTTGGAAGGCAGCAGTTTTGTGACTTCACTAGATCTCCCACCAGCTGTCCCTCAATTCTCTTTCCTTGACAACTCATTTACGTGCTAAAGCATATTGACTTGAGGAAAACGCCTTCCTTGGAGTTCGGCATGATGATCATTTTTGCGTATCTTCCTTATGGGCTTGCGGAAGGAATCTCACTCTCGGGTAAGTGAACGAGAGCATTGAAATGCTAGGTGATGGCGTGTTGTCCTGCCTGGTGAGAGAGGTTATGTCAGTTGGGTTATTTCAATCACAAGAGAAAGTCACAACTACTGGTCCCGTGGGGACACATCTGGATTTAGACCTGGCTGGATCCAGGGCCTCAGTGTTGTCACAGTCACATTTCTCCTTACCGACCATCCTGTAGCAAAGATCAAAATATCACCTCCAGTCCTGCCTCTTTCCCAGCTCCCTCCAAGGATGGGGTCCGACTGCCAAGGACAGTCATTCCCCGGCCCATGCCTAGGTCCTGGCACCCATTGGGCTGCGTTCTGTCACTATAGTTTTCTTTTTCCAGAATGTCATAAAAGTGAAGTCATATAGTATGCAGTCTTTTGTGTCTTATTTCTTTCAGTTATTATAATGTTCTTAAGCAACATGTTTTTGCATGTATGCCATTCATTATTTCTCTACATTCTTGAACTCATGGAACATACTTATAACAGCTATTTTAATGTGCTTGTGTGTTAATTCCATCATTTCTGTTAATTCTAGGTTGGTTTCTGTTGATTAATTTTCCTTTGTTTATAAGTTATATATTGCTGCTCTTTGTTTGCCTATTAATTTTTTATTGGACACCAGTCATTGTGAAGTTGATTATGTTGTTAATTATTAGATTTTAGTGTATTCTTCATAGAGTTTTGGATTTTCATCTGCCATATATCTAAGTTTCCTGCAGTCAGCGGAATCCTTTTGAGGTTTACTTTTAAATTGTCAGGGCAGGTCCAGAGTAGTACTAGGAACTAATGCACTTCTGAGGACTCTAGCTCATGTCCCATGTATTATGAGGTCACTTCACCCCCGCCTGTGGGAACACACACTATTCCCAGCCTTGTGTGTGCCTGGGGAACTGCTCAGCCTATTCCTTTTTGGTGATGCTCTCCCAGCCTCTTGGAATCTCACCGCTTGCATGTACAGATCAGTTCAGTCCAAGATTTAAGGGGTCTCCATTGTAGCTCTCAGGAGCTCTCTCCTACTGTGTGGCTTCTCCTCTCTGGTATTCTAGCTGCTTTGGCCTCCCCCATCTCTCATCTGTCTTCTCTTCTCAGCAAGACTGAGACTGCTGAGCTCAGTTTGGGGTTCCCCTTCCTGAGCCCCAGCCTGGAAACTAGGCCGGCAGTAGGCTGGGCCGGGCCTGGAGTAGGAAGGGCCACTGTGTTTGTTTCCCTTCTATCAGGAATCACAGTCCTACCCTGCCCAGTATTCAATGTCAGAAGACAGTTTTATTTTATATCTTTCATCGAGTTTTCTAGTTGTTTATGGCAAGATAGCAATTTGCGTAGTAGTTATTTCTTCCTGGGCAACGTGGAAATCCCCGGTGGTTTTTAATGACTCCGCCGAATAGAATTCTTCCCACAATCACTTTCTGTAATCACAGTGGGTACTCTGTGAGCAGATCTTGCCAAGGAGGAAGCAGAGAGGACTCTGTTCATTTTTACTGGAGAACTCGTAAACATCAGGGGTTTGGTTTGTTTTTTGTATCCCAAGCCAGTTCTCCTGGACAATTTCATCCTGGCATCTGCCATCAAGTGTCCTCTCTTACCTTCCCTGAATTTGGCACTTAATAAACCTTACTTATGAAACATTTGGCTTTAGCCTCGCTATTTTACCTCTATTTTTCTAAATGTTTCCCACCCGTTGAGATGAACAGTGAGTACCTGATGGCAGATATATTTCATACATCCATTTGGAACTTGTGATTAAGACAAGAGAGTATTTTTCTTTTCTTCAGAGAGGCAGTGTTTTCTGTTTGTAGGGCTCTCATTTCCTTAGGGATTTTTGTTGTTCACATGAGTGGGGCCAAAGACAGCACATGCCAGCCAAGAACACATGGTCTACCTCTGGGCCTTTGGGATCTCTATCACACAGGGTTTCAGAGAAAGGGAGGACGGCCTGGTGTGTTGTGAGGACCCTCCACGTCCCACTGTACGAGCATAAATGGGAAAGGTGATATTTTTTGCTCTCTCCTCCTTCCCTTTTGTACTCTGCTTTCCCTGACCATCACAAAGAACTGATAGTGAGTGGTTCCCATGACCACCAAGCAGGACATTCTCTTCCTACAAATCATTTACTCAAATCATGTGTTTAGAACACAGTGGTTAAGGATCCCGGACTAACCTGGGTTTGAATCCCAGCTCCACCTCTCATCATTAGCTATGTAACCTCCAGTCAGCAGACTTAACTTCTCTGAGCATTCACTTCCTCATGTAATAAAAGTGCCACCCTCAGGCTTGTGGTGAGAATTAAAGGGGACGATGCAAGTGAGAGTCCTGACAGAGGCATCAGTGTGTGTTATTACTAGGAAGTGTCCTGGTTTCAACAGTAAATTAAATAGTCCCCCTAATTATTACTCGGAAGCATTAGCTTTTCTCAGAATCTTTGTTCTAATTCTATCTATACCTATTTCTGTTTTTCATTCAAGCCAGTTTTGAGAGTTGCTTTGCCCTCTGGCTCTAAAGAGCCAAAGATGAATAGCCCCCACCCCTGGCCCTGAGCCAACTCTGGGCTTGGGGAGGGGAATTGGGTCAGAGCCACATTCTGTCAAGGTGAGTCACAAGGATGGAACTTTCAGGGTTGAAGGGTGAGTTTGCAAAATTGATCAGATCTTACACTTTGTGTTAAGTGCTGGGAACGTGTTGGCCAAAGATGGAATGTACTGTACAGCACTCACGTGCACAGGCGTATATCCAAGGAATTCCTCTGCAGCACTGCCTGTGAGAGGAAAACTGGAAGTAGCTAAATGTTCTTCAGTAATGGGAACAATTAGGTGAGTCTGTGTCCACTGTCACTATGGCATACTATGCAGACACTTAAAAATGAATTGATCTATTTGTACTGCCACTCCAAGATATATTGTTAAATTTTAAAGAAGTTAAAAAACAACTTTCATCCATTCAGTGAATATTAAATGTGCACCCTGTGCCGAGAACTGCCCTTGTATGGCGTCTATAACAGTAAACAAGACAAGAGCAAAGTCCTACCTGCAGAAGAAAGACAATAGACAAATGAGCAAACACGTAGCATAATCGCAGGTAGTGAGAAATGATATGAAGAAATCAGAGTCATGTGATAGACAGTGGCAGGAGAGCAGAAGCATCATGGCATAGGGTCAGAAGGTCGAAAAGAGGGGGCCCTAGAGCTAAGACCTGTGTGTAAGAGGGAGCCAGCCCTGGGAGGGTCTGGGGAAGGGTGTTTGGCACTGGGAACAGTAGGTGCTAAGGGTCCCAGGTAGGTGTTTAGGAGTGAGGCATGCTCCAGAAGAGCAGGAAGACTGTGCGGCTGGGATGGAGGGGCCAAGAGCCCATCCCGTAGGGTTCTATAGGCCTGGGACTCTGCTAATCATGCGAAGGCAAATGTTGGAGGCCTTTGAAGAAAATCCACTGTGCTAGCAAAACATGCCATATATCTAACAGGATCCTGTTTATTACTTTTTAAAGATAAACTTCCTAATGGCTTAGTGAGAGAACTGGCAATCTGCATATTGAACAGTTAATGGTAGTTAACCTCTGGACAGGCGCTGTGAATGGAGACTGTTGTTTTACTCTATACCTCTGAGTCTGGATGTCTTATAGTGAAGTATGTTTATTATTGGGTAATTAATAAAGAAAACTGATTATGGTTTGACTCAGCCTTCAAGAAGTTCATTGTAGCCCGGCCTGCGTGGCTCAGTTGTTGAGCGTCAACCTATGAACTAGGAGGTCATGGTTTAATTTCTTGTCAGAGCACATGCCCGGTTTGTGGGCTTGATCCATAGTGCAGGGCCTACAGGAGGCAGCCGATCAATGATTCTCTCTCATTATTGATGTTTCTATCTCTCTCTCCCTCTCCCTTCCTCTATGAAATCAATAAAAACCTATTTAAATGAGCTGGTGAAACAAAGTCCTTTGAAAGCACAGAAGCCAGCAACTTTCTGCATTGCCTGCAGTGCTAAAGCCCGTTCCATAAAAACAGAACTGTGTCTTACCCTGTTTTCCTCCTTTGATCTCCACTGAGTTCCAAACCCAGGTTCTGGGCTCTCCTCTGCCATCTCCCTTTGCTTTGCCTTCTGATAGCTCTATTGCAGGGTCAGGCAGGGTCAGCTCTCCAGCTATCACCTGCAGGAACATACTGAGAGAACCACCAGGTTTGCTGTCCTCTGTTTTTTGTTTGTTTGTTTTAAATATTTTGATTGATTTCAGAGAGAAAGGGAGAGGGAGAGGGAGAGAAATATCAAAGATGAGAGAGAATCATTGATCGGCTGCCTCCTGCACACCCCACACTGGGGATCAAGCCCACAACCTGGGCATGTACCCTGTCTGGGAATCAAACCATGACCTCCTGGCTCATAGGTCGATGCTCAGCCACTGAGCCACTCCGATCAGGCTGTTGTCCTCTGTTTTTTATCTCGCAGAGCAATCATTCAGAATGACTCCTGAGCTGCAGTCTCCTCAGTGGTCTGCAGTAGCAAGTACAGAAGTCTCTGGCCCACTCCTTCCCTTCTCCCAAATCTTGTCCGGTGCAGCTTGTAGGCAGCATTGCTGGAATGTCCCCATCTAGCCTCGTTTATACAGGAACATGAAAGAGCAAAGAATTTGCTATTTGCTAAGAGGAAAGGAGCAGGCCAGGTGGAGGGACCCCACTGGTGCACGATCCGGGCCGGGGAGAGACTGGGCTGGGAAGGGACCGCGGGAGGGCTCCAGTGCCTGTCCGGCCCGTCTTGCTCAGTCCCAATGGGCCGGACCCCAGCAGCAAGCTAACCTACCGGTTGGAGCGTCTGCCCCCTGGTGATCAGTGCATGTCATAGTGAGCGGTTGAGAGGCCTTAGCATATCATTAGCATATTATGCTTTGATTGGTTGGACAACCAGACACTTAGCATATTAGGCTTTTATTATATAGGATGTTCAACAGTAATCCCTGTTTCTACAAAGTGGCAGAAGGAGTTAATATTTTGCTTATAAAGTCTGACTTGCAGTTCATATATTTTGGCTTATTTAATGACTGTATTTACATGAACTAGAGATCCTAGACCAGGACACTCTGAGAGGAAACCCTCGTAAAGTGCTGCAGGAGTGATTATGGGCAGTGGCCAAATGGTGAGACTCAAATCCTCAGTAAACAACAAAAGTTGTAGACTCTCATGGAGTGCTGTAAAGAAAAGACATTATGTGTTAAACGAATCTCTTTTTCTATATAAGAATAGTATTTTATGTGATTACAGGGAAATTCAAAATTAAGGCAAAGTAAATCAAAATCTACCCCGATTCTTTTTTATTGTTGTTTGTTATCCTCATCCAAGGATATTTTCCCATTGATTTTTAGAGAGAGTAGAAGGGAGGGGGAAAGACAGAGAGAGAGAAACATCAGTGTGAGAGAGACACATCAATTGGCTGCCTTCCACACATGCCCCAACCAGGGCCAGGATTGAGCCTTCAACCAAGGTACATGCCAGAATGGAACCCAGGACCCTTTAGTCCTCGGGCTGATGCTCTATCCACTGAGCCAAACTGACTAGAGCCGTGGTCTGCAAACTGCAGCTCGCAAGCCACATGCGGCTCTTTGGCCCCTTGAGTGTGGCTCTTCCACAAAATACCACGTGCGGGCGCGCGTACAGTGCGATTGAAACTTCGTGGCCCATGCGCAGAAGTCAGTTTTCGGCCTGGGCGAGTCTATTTTGAAGAAGTACTGTTGATATTTGGCTCTGTTGACTAATGAGTTTGCCAACCACTGGACTAGGGCTACCCAGATTCTTATGCTCTCTAAGTGGCTCATTTGTCCTCCTTCTATCTGTGGATGACAGTGACAGCACACACCTGTCCTGTAATGGGCACTTTGTGTGGCTATTCTTCATTACCCTCCTAAGAGGGTAATAAAGATTAGAAACAGAAACAGTCAATAAGCATTGACAAAGGATTCATTAAATTAGCCATGACATACCAATACAGGGTTGGGCAAAAGTAGATTTACAGTTGTTCATATGGAAAATAATACAATTCATGAGTGGGTACTCTTAGTTCCACTATACAGATGAGAAAACAGGCTTGGATGGGGGTGTGGGAATTTGGCCCAAGGTCAGCCAGCTGATAGTGAAGCTGCCAGAAAGAAGGGACCCTTAGCATTTCTCTGCAATCTCTGGTAGGCCTCGGGTATTACTTCCTTCTCCTTTTTCTTTCTTTTTTTTTTTTTTAGAATATATTTTTACTAGAGGCCCAATGCATGAAATTCATGCAAGGGGCTCGGCCCTCAAGGCCCCAGCTGCCGTGCCCACTGGTCGTTCCGGAAGGTTTTTCCGCCATCCGGTCTAATTAACATATTAGCTCTTTATTATATAGGATTGGTTTTAGAGAGGAAGGGAAAGGGAGAGAGAGATGGAAACATCAATGATGAGAGAGAATCACGAATCAGCTGCCTCTTGCATGCCCCACACTGGGGATCGACCCCACAACCTGGGCATGTGCCCCAGCCAGGAATTGAACTGTGACCTCCTGGTTCATAGGTTGATGCTCAACATTGAGCACCACTAGCCAGGCTCCTTTTTCTTAAAACACCTAACACTATAGGCTCCAGGGACTTGTGGGAAGTGTGACATATTTGTGGATCACATGGTAGGTGCTTTTCTGCTCTGCTCATGTCTGGGCCCTGTGCCCCATTGTCCCTCTCCAGGCATCATGGCCATCCTGTTCTCAGGCATCGTGATGTCCCACTATACGCACCATAACCTGTCCCCGGTCACCCAGATCCTCATGCAGCAGACCCTCCGGACCGTGGCCTTCTTGTGCGGTGAGTTCCTCTCGGTGGTCTGGCATGGGCCTCCCCTGAGCTGATGGTTCTTCTTACCCTGTTTGAGTCCAGTTGTTTCCTGGCAGAAGAGGCAGCAGGATCCTCAGAGCCAGACTTGCACTCCCTTATCTTTTGTTTGTTACTCTGGCTTTCAAATTCCATAAAGTAAACCTAATACTTAACAAATGGAATATTTGCTGCCTACAATTTTAAAACCAAAAATAATGAAAGCTACTAATTATGAACATTTGCGCCTCATGCATTTTAATGTATTAAAGTCACATTTCCAAAAATGTTTTCCTTGGAACTGATATTGATGAGGGTTAAGTGAATAAAGAGTGTGGGAAATCCTGGGATAAAGTTTAACAAGTTTCTGAACTGCAGGACTTTTCAGCAGCGTGCATTGTGAACTTCTGAGAGAGGAATGTAGTACCAGCATTTCCCAAACTTGTCCATAGGACCCTTTGTTCACAGGAGCATCTTGAAAGACCTAACTTGGGGCGGTATCATTGTTGGGCTGGGGTGCCCCAGGATGACTGGTTCCCCCATACACCTCCTCCCTAGTTTATGCCTGGCCATGAAGGAACCACTCTCACACTGTCTCTTTGCACTGGTGCCCAAGTGGCTGTGCCCTAGCTGTCACCAGCAGCATCCCCCCTGACATTTCAGTGGGGCTTGTCTCATTTTGAAGTGTGAGTTCCACACTGTCACATGCTAGGTAGGAGGCAGGGACAGGCTGTGCAGACTTCAGTCCATGGATAAGGAGGCTCAGGTGTCAAATGACTTGTCCACAGTCACATGGTTCAGAAGTGACTCTGAAGCCAGGTCTGTCTCTTCTGGCCCAGCAGGTATTTTTTCCATAGCACCCCTCTCAGAAAGTCATGGCTAAAGACTTTGACTCACCATAAAGGAGTGTAAAGCAAAACACCCATCAAATTCTGTTTTGCACCCATCAGATTAGTAAATGTTAAATTTGATAATACCCACTTCCGGCACCGGTGTATGTAGGACAGGCCATTGATGTGCATGTGTGTTGATGCCATCTCTTTGGAGAGTCATTTGCAGCATGTCTGAATTTAAAAGGCACGAGCTCTTGGACCCACAATTCTACTAGGAATTTTGCCTGCGCACAGGGATGCTTGTAGTTTGTAATATCAGAAATAGAAACAGTCAATAAGCATTGACAAAGGATTCATTAAATTAGCCATGACATACCAACACAGAGTTGGGCAAAAGTAGGTTTACAGTTGTTCATATGGAATACAATAATTAATAAATATAATACAAGATTAAATTCTGTGTTTCATATACTCACAACTGTAAACATACTTTTGCCCAATCCTGTACAGTAGAATTTATGCTGCCTGAGAAAAGCATAATGTAGACCTCAAGGCAACCTAAATGAGCATTTGGAAAGATCACAAAAAAATATTCAAGGAGGAGAGGGGTGAATCTACTGTCCAGCTTGTGACTTATTTTAAAAGGATACACATTTGAAGGGAAAAAATGTAGGCAAAATGTTTTAAAACAGCCTTGCTGTATTATGATACTCAATTATTTTACAATACAGTCTTTTCTCCCTGATTATGAGGCTGTTCTGGGGCATCACAATAAAAGCAGGGAGCCTAGCCCTAGCCGGTTTGGCTCAGTGGATAGAGCATTGGCCTGCAGACTGAAGGGTTCCGGGTTCGATTCCGGTCAAGGGCACATGCCCGAGTTGCAAGCTTGCTCCCCAGTGGGAGGCATGCAGGAGGCAGCTGATCAATGATTCTCTCTCATCATTAGTGTTTCTATCTCTCTCTCCCTCTCCCTTCCTCTCTGAAATCAAGAAAAATATATATATATAAAAAGCAGGGAGCCTAGTGGTGGGAATATACCAGGTCCTTTTCTTTGGGATACACAGCAACTGCTTGTACAATGAGCATAAATGTTGGACTCTTGTGGGGTGGAGCCCAGAGCTGGAAATGTACTCCTTCCTGCAAATGCTGCAGGGTGTGAGCTGTCTTCTAAACCTGGGGTGGGATTAAATATATGAGGTCAATCATTTGGCTTTGTCCACTATGGCCAGGAAGATAACAAAGGGCCCTTTCACACTGGTCAGGTGGTGTCTGCAGCACTGGCTCTGAATTTTTGTCACTTTACCGGCAGTCAGGATCCTTGCTAATCACAGTGTTCAGCAAATGGACTGAGTACTTATTTACACGAGTATGTGACAGTTGCCTCATTAAATTAGGAGATTCAGAATAGCAAGCACATGTTCCTTGTGTGATAGAGAAAAATGAGATAATCACAGTACTAGTTTCACCAGGTATTGGTTGCAGATGTTTCAGTAAGTGTTACTTACTTGTGAATGTTTGCTTGCTTAACAATTTTAGTACTGTATTGGAAGAAATAGTCTGGGCTAAATAATCCATTCTTTGGTTTGTTTCAGAAACATGTGTGTTTGCATTTCTTGGCCTGTCCATTTTTAGTTTCCCTCACAAGTTTGAAATTTCCTTTGTCGTCTGGTGCATAGTAAGTATTTTCCTTGTTTTTTATTTAATTACTTATTCATAGCTCAATGACCACATGTTCTGGATTCATTTATGTATCTGTTAACTGTTCAAAGTCAACAGCTACATAGACACTCTTACGTTTAAGTTTTTTTGTTGTTGTTGTTACAAAATCACAAACATAAAATAAAGGGTGGAATTAAGTGAATGAATATCCCCAGAAAAGGATTTTTGCTTCTTTTTAAATTTTAAATGGCCTTAAATGATATGGTCTTCTTTTAAAAGCACATTGTATGTGTTTCTATGTTCGGTGGTAAAAGCAGATTTCAAAATTGAATATGTAGTTGAGCATAACCATGTAAAAACATTATGCATAGAAAAAGAAAATTTCACCAAATGTTCCCAGTGCTTGTAGAACTGAGGATGATTTTTTTTTTCTTTTCTATGCTTTCTGGATAATTTATAATGCATGTATTTCTTACTGTAGTTCTCTTCAGATGTCCATTCATAAGCTTGACCTTGGACACTGTGTAAAGATTACTAGGCCCTTAGTTCCCCTGAAGATTCATCCAGGGTACTCATCCCAGGTGATTCTTACTATCAAGAAGGTTTGGGAAACTGTTATAGTTGGACTGGGGGTGGCAGTAGGAGACACATTAAAATACATCTCTAAAAAAGGAAAGTAGAAGATTAATCATTTATAGGAGAATCAAGTCCTTGTGGGGAAAAATAAAAGTTTAGCATTTAAAAGAAAGGTCCAGCTCTGGCCAGTGTGGCTCAGTTGGTTGAACATCATCCCAGACACCAAGAAGTCATTGGTTTGATTCCTGGTCAGGGCACATGCCCCTATTGGAGGCTCGATCACCAGTAGGGAAAATGCAGGAAGCAGCCATTGATGTTTCTCTCTCATCTCCCTCTTCCTTTCTCTCTCTTTCTAAAATTAGTAGAAACATTTAAAAAATAAAAGAAAGGTCCAGCTCTCTCAGGCATCTGATCAAAGTGACATGAGGGGCTTCTAACAGTTCGGGCATTTAGCCTGGTGTCCCCAGGTTGCTTGTCTGTATTCCTCTTTGTGTCTCTTCCCTCAGAGTGAGTTCATCTCCCGGAGGACCTCCAACTGATTCAGACTCCAATCCCTAATTTGATCTTTGTTGTCCCTTTAGATCCTATGTTACTTTAAGGCACTTAAGAAGTATATCTTATTATTTTTGAATTATCATAATTCATCTTCAGTTAACTATTATTACCAGCTCCACTTAATAAAACATAGCTATTGAGAGTCAAACTTTTTATTTTGCATAGTCATCTACCATGTGCGAACCAGGGAGGTCTACCTGTTTGGCCTGTGGGGAAACTGAGACACAGAGAAGATAAGGAGCCCTAAGGAAAAAGATGTTTCTCCTTGAAACCTGGGTGCTTTCACCTCTCTCGGCAAGAGTGTGTGGCTTTTGTCTCTGTTATCTGTCCTCCAAACTCCAGTTTCAGGACAGGAGGACAGAAGCCAGTCTTTTCAGAAAGTATAATAGTCTTTAGTGTGGTCTCTGGGTAAACGGGGCCACCTTTGGTGAAACCTGAAGTGCAAGTGTCAGATTGGGAGGTTGGGTTCCAGTGGGTGAAAAAGGGAGGTGACTGTGTCGGCCATGGGTTGGGAGGAAAAGGAGAATGAGAAGATGCCCTGGGGTGGTGACTTGGTTTTCTCTGAGCACATAGGCTGGCCCTGCCCCTCCTGGGCGCAGCCTATGCTTTTCAAATGGATTACTTTACACTGGCTCAGTGGTCAAGGGCATGAGTTTTGGGGACTGAACCAGATTTGAGACTTGGCTCCACCACTTCCTGCCGGGTTCAGTGTGGGCCCGTTACTTAACCTCTCTGTCTCTGTTCCCTTGTCTCCAGAATGGAGACAGTAATACCTACTTTACAATACCATTGTAGGGATCTAAATTTAACAAGATAATGCATATAAAATGCTTAGCACATTGTCTGACATATAAATGTGAGATGATTGGGAGCCATTATTAACTTGACCATCCAAGGCATGCACACTCCAAAGCACACTCAATCCGTGCTGGTTAAAAGGGTAAACTTAGAGCCTACAGAACGTGGGTGTGTATATTATCCTTTTCAAGATTAAAAAATGGAGGTAAATTAATAAGTAGCTCTAAGTACCCACTTAGATAAGGTTTAAACTTAACATAAAGCTGTATTTTGTTAAGACCAACATGCCTTTGGAAATGGTTAGGAACCCAAAGCCATGGCAAGTTGCTGGGTTGTGTGACCTTTTAAAACCTACCTGTGTGTTCCTTTTGCTCAGGGAGTAGCGTTTAGGTATATGGGTCGGCCCTTCTCAGTCTTTCCTCCTTTCCCTGAGGAGTAGGGCCCCCATGGGAGAGGCAGGAACACCTGTCCGTGCCTCCAGAGCTAGCCCACTGGGAGTGATTAGCACAGCCCTGTCCCATGGTGGAGCACCTTTGGAGGAGTTAGATTGCCCTTAAATTAAATAATCTCTGGGTACTTCTGCATGGCCTCTTGGCATTCAGTTCTGTTCTGCTGTCATTACTAAAGCCATTGCTGATGTCCTCTCTTACTGACTACTGAGATGTGACGTAAAAATCATTATCCTTTCCCAGACACACAAACCAGGCAACCTCAGCCGGGTTTCTGACTAGCACTTGTTATTCACACCTTTTATAACCCAGGGGAATGCCCTATTTATAGTGGGTGTGCTACAGGCCTGTATCAGCCTCAGCAAGCTTCAAATTAAAGAACCAGAAGTTCCCATCTAAGACTTGGTTTGTTGCTATTAACAGGTGCTTGTACTGTTTGGCAGAGCAGTGAATATTTTCCCTCTTTCCTACCTTCTGAATTTCTTCCGTGATCATAAAATCACACCGAAGATGATGTTCATCATGTGGTTTAGTGGTAAGTCTAATATTGAATGAACAGTGGAGGGAAGATACCTCTTACAAAGGCACACACCATGCAGAGGGCACACGGGCTAGAGCCCTTTGAAAACAAGTGTGTTCACAAGCCAGAAATAATACAGGTTCCCAGGCTGCCAGTGCTGCCAGGAACTGCTTGGGAGGCACCGGACAAATTGCATTCTGTGCTGTTGCCTGTCAAGCTGTGTGGCCCTGGGAGGACACTGTTCCCTCAGTCTCAGTTCCTCGTCTGTAGAATAATAGGACCTGCTTTACAGGGTTTCCGGTGAACAGCAGATGAGGTCATGCAGGCAGAGCGCTTAGCACAGGCCTGGCTCACACACAGGGAGGGCTCAGTCTGCACTAGCTGTTGTATTTCTAAAATGTGAGTGTTGGTGTCAAGCTGTGTGGCCCTGGGAGGACACTGTTCCCTCAGTCTCAGTTCCTCGTCTGTAGAATAATAGGACCTGCTTTACAGGGTTTCCGGTGAACAGCAGATGAGGTCATGCAGGCAGAGCGCTTAGCACAGGCCTGGCTCACACACAGGGAGGGCTCAGTCTGCACTAGCTGTTGTATTTCTAAAATGTGAGTGTTGGGCTTGATAAACACACACACACACACACACACACACACGGGCTTCATAGCCTGGACAGGGCACCTCATTTGATCTGCTCAAGCCCCCTGTGAAGTGGGAACGGAGGTGAGCCTCCACCTGGGCCCCCCTTCTCTGTGGCCTGCCTTTCTCACACCCCAGAGCCTCACAGGATGAGTTTGTGCTCTCCAGGGCATCTGTTAGGATGTCTGACTGCCCATGAGGCTGGGCTGTCCCAGGTCCCCTGAGAACTGGGTCAGGATGCCGCTGCCTCTCCTCCTCCTTCCAATGGTCCTCTAACTCCCTTCACTGTCCCCCTAGGCTTGCGGGGTGCCATCCCCTATGCCCTGAGCCTGCACCTGGACCTGGAGCCCATGGAGAAGCGGCAGCTCATCGGCACCACCACCATCATCATCGTGCTCTTCACCATCCTGCTGCTGGGCGGCAGCACCATGCCCCTCATCCGCCTCATGGACATCGAGGACGCCAAGGCGCGTCGCCGGAACAAGAAGGATGTCAACCTCAGCAAGACCGAGAAGATGGTTAGTGCTTGGTGGGCTGGAGCAGGGCAGAGGGTTGGTCCCCACTGCCTGCCAGGAAATGGGGAAATGAGAACAATTTGAGGATGCTCAGCATTCCCATGTACATGCAGTTGCCCAACCTGACTAGGGGGTGAACTAAGGTTCTGAGGCTTGGCTCTTTGTGGTGGCTTATCTGCCAGCCTTGTGGCCTGGTGCAGCCATGGAGGTCAGGGGTGGGGAGCGTGGACCTGTATCAGACTCTCCCAGCAACACTCCTCCCCTGCCAGGAACCGCCCACCCCATCAGGGCCCAGGACTGGAAGGTTTCAAAATCCTATCATTCCCCAATGTCTGCTGAATGCCTCCTATTGGGGCTGGAGTGGAGGAAGGTGCTTACAGTGGCTTTGAGGGCCATGAGAGAGGTGTCCTCCACCAAGGCCAGACAAGGGCCTGATTGGGGCTGAGGCACCCAGGGCCCAGCTGCAGTGAACTGAGGCCCCCATACCACTGCCCACCTCTGTTCCTCCAAGCCACCCTCCTGCCCGGCAGTGCTCCTGCCTGTGGGCCGCCACTCCCAGGTCAGCTGTGGTCATGCCTTTCCTGCCCTGTGTCCCCCTCAGGCCCATGTGCTGAGCCAGACTCTGACAGGAGCAGAGGGCGCCCTAGTCTCTCCTCCCACCTCTGTGCACCCACCATTCCCCCACACAAATTTCCAGAAATGCATCTTTTTTTAGTTGCCTTATTCGAGGCCATCAGTCACTTGAATTGGTCTTGGATGGCACAGAGATCCTCAACCAGGAGACAGGGAAAGGGGATGTGCCCACTTCTCCTTCTGAAAGTCTAGATCTGGGCAGAGCTTGGCCTCTAGTCTCTGCGCTGCTGGAAAGGAACTTTCAGACGGCCTCATGCTGGGCTGCTCAACCTTCCTCCTCTCAGCGGTCTTTCTCCCCCACCCCCACTCACCAACTTTGTTGTTGTTTTTTAATCCTCACCCGAGGATATGTTTATTGATTTTAGAGAGGGAGGAAGGGGAGGGGAGAGAGAGAGAGAGAGGCATTGATGTGAGAAACATCAATCAGTTGCCTCCCCTACTTGACCTAACCTGGGATCAAACCCGCAACATTTTATTGGTATGTGGGATGACGCTCCAACCAACTGAGCATCCAGCCAGGGCCAAACTTTGTTTTTTATAAAAGTTTTAGTGTAGGTTCTGAGACCTTTCAGTGGGGTCAGAATTGGTGAAGGGCTCCAGGGTCCTACAGGTCTGGGTGGGGCTAGAAAGAATTTGCATTTCTAACAGGTTGCCAGGTGCTGATCCTGGCTCAACAGGGCGGGCGGGCGGAGGGAGCGGTTATGGTGCCCTCAGTCCCGTTCCCAGAGGCTCTGCTTCTCAGAACCCCCGGAACCGCTGCAAACCTCGGAGGGAAAGCTGCCTTCCAACTGATGCCAGACACTCCCGCTTCTCCCGTTTGGGTCCGAGTCCCCAGCGATTCGCCCGTATCTGGAGCTCAGAGTCTGAGACTCCCCCCTGACCGAAAACGACAACCGCGCTCTCAGCCACCAGCCCGCTTTGCGCGCGCACCTCCGCACCTGAGTATTTTCCACACTGCGCCTCCTCTGAGCCTCGGTGTGCTGTTATTTTTCCTTCTAGTTGAAGAGTCTCTCCTCAGCCAGCCTTCCTGCGGTTCTGGGTGATGTCCGTTCCGTCTTTTAGTTGTATTTTTGAAGTGGTTGTTTGTGGCAGCAGTCTGCGGTGTTTACCTATGCCGCCATCTTGGTCTCTCTTCAAGAATTTGCATTTCTAACAGGTTGCCAGGTGCTGATCCTGCAGCCACACTTGGTGAATTTACCACCCTGGGCTCTAGAAGAAGCAGGATGTTTGCTCAGAGGAAGCACATGCTGTTCAAGGAATGTCCTGTGGCACTGGCACTGTGCTTGAGGCTCCTTAACTGTCTCAGGTCACCCATAAACAGCAGGAAGCAGAGGCTCTCATTATGCCCATTTTGCAGATGAGAGCACTGAGGCACAGAGGCCAAATCACACAGCCAAGGTCACACAGACTCCAGAGCCTGCACTCTTAACCGCCAGTCTCCACCAGTGGTTCCCAAGGTGGGGCTGGACCAGCAGCATCACTGGGGACTTGGTAGGAATACAGATTCTTGGGCCCCCATCCCAGATCTCCTAAACCAGCTCTGCAAGTGAGCCCAGCATTTTATGGACTCACAAGCCCTTCAAACCTGCACCAGCTGCCAGGGCTCCCCAGTGGAGGCCCAGTTAGCTGACTGTGGCTGGAGAGCAGCTCCTCTAGCAAAACAGCAAACACTGTTCACAACCTGTATGGTCAGCTCTGCAGAGGCCTGGAGCAGGGCTGAGTAGATCAGTGAACCTGAGACCTGCTTGCCTTCCAGACCTGCTCTGCGCCATGTGCAGTCATTCTCTTCATTCCTCTCTGGTTCCCGCTGGGATTGTGTCTGTGTCTCCTGTCCTCCCACTACCCTCCACCCTCCACTCCCTGGCACTGATCTGCACATTAAAATCCAGAAGCTTACAAACCACGACCAGCCCCAGCCCAGAACTTCTGATTTATTCACAATTCTGATTTATTCCTGGGTATCCATCATGTTCTTGGGCACCTCCCTACCTCCCTACCTCCCTACCTCCCTACAGGCTCCCAGGAAGCCCTTTGCTACCCACAGACACACTGCATTGATTAGAAAGTGCAGTTAGGGTTGGGGACACTGGTGGCCAGGGTGAAGGGGTGCTAGGTAGGCTGGGTGGTGTGGGGGCTTCCAGGAAGATGTCAGCCCATCTACCGACCCTCAGCTGCCTTCCTTCCTCCTCAGGGCAACACAGTGGAGTCGGAGCACTTGTCGGAGCTCACCGAGGAGGAGTATGAAGCCCACTACATCAGGCGGCAGGACCTCAAAGGCTTCCTGTGGCTGGATGTCAAGTACCTGAACCCCTTCTTCACACGGCGGCTGACCCAGGAGGTGGGACACAGGCCAGGGCCACATGGCCAGGGGTCTCTTGCCTTCCTCCCTCAGAACCTGCAGTGGCCAAGAGTGGGGGACAGAGAAGGCCCACGTGCTGTGTTGGGGAGAGGCAGCCAGGCCGCCTCCTCCCACTTGGCTCTCCTTCCCAGGATCCCATCTGCTGTTTTTCCTTTGCTACCGGATTTAGTGCTAGTTTAATAATAGACTTGCTAACACAGTTTGCTTTTCCTGGATGATAAGACTCGGGACATTGATCAGCTACTGAATCTGAGCTGAGGAATTTCAGACACGCCAGGACCGCAGGCAGTGTCCCAAGGCTCAGGCTCTTATTCCGTCCTTCCAGCACTGCCAACCTCTGGGTGACAGGCAGTTTAATGGGGACCAGCTTGGATCTACTTTGCTGAACAGGTCATCCAGCCCCATGCAGGCCTTTGGGGTGGGGTTCTCCTGGCTGTAGTCCCCCTTTGTCTCAGAGCCCTATTTCCCTCCTCTGACAGTCACGATGCTGTATTTAAGCTCTTACTACCAGCCAGGCGCCACACCAAATGGTGTTCATGATTGCTTCGGTTCATTCTCCCAAAAACCCATGCAGCAGATGCAGCTGTTATCCCACTTGACAGCTGAGGAAGCTGAGGCCCAGAGAGGTAAGGTAGCCCCCTGAGGTCACACAGCCAGTGCAAGGCCAAGCTGGGAGTGGAGCCCGAGTGTGTCTGATCCAGAGCCACTGTTTTTTAACATCATGCCATCCTGCCTCCTACTCCTCCTGTTTCTGAGTGACACCTCCTGTTATCTCCACCCCCACAAAGAAGAACCTTAGCTCAGTTACTTAACACTTTAAGATTATTTGTGGCTCTGTACCCTGCCTCCTATCCCCTCCTCCCCACCACACACACACACACACACACACGCACACACACACACACACACACACACGAGACACAAAGCAGCTCCTCTCCTTTCCTTGACCCTGACCCTCTGGGTTGCTTGTATTCTGCCTCAGGACCTCCACCACGGGCGCATCCAGATGAAAACCCTCACCAACAAGTGGTACGAGGAGGTGCGCCAGGGCCCCTCTGGCTCTGAGGACGAGGAGCAGGAGCTGCTGTGACCGAGCAGGGCCTCCCCACGTCTCTGGGATGGACACCCAGCAAGGGCCCCTGAGGTGCGTGCATTTGGCAGCCTCTTCAGGAAGATGAAAGCAGGGTGGAGCCAAGATGCTGCCTTCTTTACCCGGACCATCCAGGCCAGCTGGCTTCTTCTGAAACATGTCATCTCCCACTCCTCACCCAGCCAGACCTCTGCTCACAGCGTCACTTCCAGCCTGCAGATTAGATGGAAACCTGTCCAGGTAAATGTTTCCTTTTGCTTCTGCAGCCAAGGCAAACAGTCATCTGTCCATCCCAGGTGCCTGCAAGGAGAAATCCTGTGTGGAAGCTGCTGTGACTGGGTGTCCTCGGGGGAACGCTGGTCTGCAGTTTCTGTCATTCCCAGCTAACACCATCATCATGACCCTAGGGGCGGGCAGAGCGAGGAGCCAGCTGCCAGTTTCCTTATCATCATCAAGGTGCCTTGGGCCTCAGCATCAGCAGTTCTGACCTACGTGGCAGGCCCAGAAACCTTGAAAACCTCACACTCCCCTTTGTGATGTTGCTTGCACACCCTGAGAAAAACAGTGACCTTTGTCTTCTTTACCTCTGACTGGCACCTCGAAGGCTGTCTCCCTGGGTGACAGGCAGCCACTGCCTTCTCTGGGAATACTGTGAATGTTTACACTGGTAACCAGCACGTAGGCACAGGCCTTTCTTTGGAGCCCCTTTGGAAGCTGCATCGCTGGTTTTGGGGTGAGTGGGCCTATTTTGTGGTGTCAGAGCGCCCTCTAGAGGACAAATCTAACAGTACAGTGCTTAGGCAGGCCAGCAACTTCTGAATTTAGTTTAAATTCATGCACTTGAACAAAGTGGTATGTCCAGAGGCCCCTTTTCTTGGGCTCCATGGGGTCTGCCCACCGTTTACTTGCTGCCACCTTCACAGCTAATCAGCATTTCCTCTTCCCAAGTCTCTACTGTTTGGGGTCCCACTTGTCCTCCATGCCAGGGTCCCAGTTCGCCCAAGCATGGCGACGGGCCAGAGCCTGCCACCCCCTCCCCAGTGGCCTGCATTCACATGCATCCGATCCCCACCTAAAATCCCCAAGCAGCCACTGGGACCCCAGGACCTGTTCCTCCCGTCTGTCACAGAGTGCTTACACTCTTCTCCCGTACACATACCCCACCCTGACTTCATGGGCCTGGCCCCCGGGCCTCTGAGGGCAAGGAGCTGCCAATCATGTCCAGATGATTTGGAGTTAGTGACTCTCACATCCACTCCTCACCTGCCCTAATTTAACAAGCCTCGTACCTGCTTGCCGTTGCCCATCTATGGGCTGTTTTGGCATTTCCATGTGTGGCTCAGGGTCCCAGCTGGAGCTGGGACTTAGCACCCTCTGGGTGATTTAACTCATCATGTATATGTGCTTGGTTCTCTGTGGGGACCCAGTAGGCCAGCATGGGCCCTGGCTGGCAGCAAATATGTGTCCATCTCTTCTGCCTCAGGCAGCATGGCCCTGGATGTCAGGAAGGACTGACCTTGGGACCTTCAGGACTCATGTCCAGCCCACAAGGCCAGGCCCCTTCCCTAATGCCTTCCCTTTCCCCAGAAGTGTAAGTTGTAAGGCCAGTCAGGCAGGAAGCACGAGGTGTCCTTTTTATGCATGAAAAGTAAATTTGTACTTTATAGAGCTAAAATATGAGCATTTTTGTTTTTGTAATTTCCCCCCTTAACCCAATAATTTGAGCCAAACAGGATTCTTTTACTCCACCTGATACTCCCACTGGAGGAGTAATATGTGCATAATTTTCTTATTTCCTTTTAGTGGAAAAGTAAGAGAAGAGGTCAAAGAGGGAGAGACCTTAGTCCACATGAGGTGGGGGGATAGGCAGGGATCATACTGTTCTCTCATCCCCCAACTCACAAGTAATTTACTTTCTGCCCTAAAACTCAGGGTCCGATCTCAGAGGTGGAAGTTGCATTGCAAACTCAGTATCTTGCCAGGAAAAAAATTTTTTTAGTTCATAGAGTCAGCAATGAAAACAGGTTCTTTTCCATTCAGACTGCTTCTTGCCACCGGGTCCTGCCTGGCCTCCCACTTCTAGCTGAGACCTGAAAATGACACTACGGTGGAGAAGTACGTGGGGGAGTTGGTGGAAGGTCCCCAAGGCTTGGCTATGGGGTATGGGGCACCTTTCCTGGCAGGTTCCAGCACTGGTCTGGATCTCCTGTGGGCCGCCTCTGTTCCTCAGCAGTCTGGCTGGCTGGCTAGTCACCTTTGGAACAGGCAAACGCCCACAAAGAGGCATTTTTCTGGTGGTTTTTTCACATGTCTTTGCCTGAGAATAAAAAATTGCTTCTGTCTACCTTTAGCATATCTAATAATTATATTATTTGGTGTAATAAATGCCTAGATTTTAAAAATCCAGCATAACTTTGACTTCGTGCATATTTATTTTCTTTTAGGTCTAGGCCATGGATAGGAGAGCTGTATATAGCACGTAGAGAAGGTAAACTTTAGAGTGAGGTGAAGGCTGTGAAGTCAGTGCCTTTGGAGAAGCTGGCCATTTAGCCAGAAAATTCAGAAAACATGCCTGCCCTGTGGAGCTGGGGAAAGGAGCTGGCTTTTCCTAGGTCTCCAGAGATCAAGCTTGGGCTGGAAAGTGGCTCAGTTCCATAGTCTGATGCTCAGACCCTCAGCCTAGAGGCAAAACTGAGACCTCCCACCCTCAGGCCAGCCACCTCTTTTCACAGTGGGAATGTTGACCAAGCCCTGGTTGTTGTGAGGACAAGGGGCAAGGCCTGGCCCAGAATGTTGGCAGCCCGACTCCCCCAAGTCAGCCCAGACAGGCTGTGATTTGCCTGCAGATTCCTTTGTGTGAGTGGAATGCAGAAAGATTAGTGAATGGGAATCCTTCTCTCCTTAAAACCCACATCACAGATGCCATCAGCAAGACTTGGCCTATAAGGTCTCAGTTCCACATTCCCACAGGTGCCCACACATTTGGCAAAGTCCTCAGGGGGGTAGCACGGACAGGATCCCACTTCTGCTTTGGCCAAAGAGTCAGGGTGGGCAGGGTGGTGGCCAGCTTTTCCTCAGCCAAGTCATGGCCATCAAGTTGCAGGCCTGGCTTGGGGTGGATCTGTTCTTAGAACTGGTCCCTGATTTAAGTGTGAGAAGGAATTTCTCAGCAGCAATGCTCTGCCTTTGACTAGAGCTTTAAATGAAAAAAGAGATCCTCCCCCTATTCCCTCTAGAATGCAGGCATCTGTTTCTCCTGCTGGTTGCTAAGTAGAAAATCAAATCTGAAATGTTCCTGATACAGCAGCCAGGATCATTAAGAAGATGTTCAACCAGGAACCCAGTTCCCAAGGCCCGAGGCCATATGCTTTCAATGAAAACACCACAATCAGAGTAAAGGCCTAAAGGGGAAAAGTAGCCACTCCCCCTTCCATTTAAGCTTCTGCCATTTCTCACAGAAATGGAGTTGTGTGTTTTTTAATCCTCACCCAAATATATGTTTTTCCTTAATCCCAGAGAGAGGGGAAGCAAGAGGGAGAGAGTAAGAGAATTAAACCCGAGACCTTTGGTGCACGGGACAACACTCCAACCAACAGAGCCACACTGGCTAGGGCTGGAGTTAGATATTCAGGGACTTCACTGGCCATGTGTCAAAAGAAGGAAGACTCTAATTTCCTCTGATCCAGTCATCCCACTGGCCCATCCTGTTTTCCATCCTTTCCCACCCCAGCCAGCATTATCCCAGACGGGGGGAAAAAAAAACTTAGCCTTTCTTAACGGGAGTTGGTGTCCTCCCAGGCTGCTCTGCAGGACCTGCCTGAAGTGGGTGAGAGAGAGCTGAGTCCGGTGTGGGGATGAATGGGGATATGCAGGTCACCTGTGGGCCTTCAGCCACATGGAAGAGCCTGTTAGCATATTCCTGGTGCTCACTTCCACAGTCCCAGCCCTGCTCTAAGGAACAGGGGGCACACTAGCCAGGGAAGTCTCCTTACTTGCTGGAGAGCTGTGAGGTTTCTGGCTTACCAAAGGCTTTAACGTTTTCTCCAAATACAGCTCCTGCAAAGCTTGATTTGTCCTCAAGGTGAATCCGAATCATGTAGGGTTTTCGTTTTTATTTTGAGAGAAAGATTGATCTGTTGTTCCACCCATTCATGTATTCATTAGTTGACTCCTTGTATGTGCCCTGACCAGGGATCAAATCCGCAACCCTCGGGTATCAGGATGATACTCCAACCAACTGAGCCAACCAGCCAGGGCAGAATCTTGTATTTTTTTAAAAAGCAATTTTCTTTGTCAAAATGAAGGATTTGTTATTTATTTTAAGGACCACTTGGAAGGTCAGGCTTATTCTTTTGTCATTTGTTAGGTCCTGGTTCCTGAGAAATGATTTGCTGCTCTTCTTGATGGGGCTTCAGATTGTGTAGAGGAAGATGGGTCAGTGATGGGGGGACCTGGGGACTTTAGCATCAGCCTGGTCCTGGGGACCTGGTCCTCTGCACACAGGCAGTTTTCAGATGATGCCCTGATGCAAATGGGGAAGAAAATAGGGCTTTGCTTACCAAAAAGAAAAAGGGGGGAGGGGCACAAAAATGTAGTTGGTTTACACTGTGGTGAAGTCCTACTTGCTGGTGGGAGGGCCAGCTGGTTCAATCTTTTTGGAGGACAATGTGGGGACACCTATCAAAAGCCTGTAAGTGTCCCATGCTTTGACGCAGCAGTTTCAAATGGTTTGAAAATTTTTTAAAAGGATAACATTTCATGACATGAAATTTATATGAAATTCAAATGTCAATGGCCATAAATAAAGTTTTGAATTTTTTAAAGCTTGTTTTCTCTAATTAAATAAGTACCTACTTTTTTTTTTTTTTTTTTTTTTTTTTTGCCTCTTAGCTCCCAAAGCTGAAAATATTCACTCCCTGGTCATTTACAAAACAAGTTTACCTACCCCTGGCCTACCCTAGAGAAATTCTTTTTCTCTTTATTTTTCGTTGTTGTTAATTCTCACCCAAGGATATTTTTCCTTTGATTCTTAGAGAGAGTGGAAGGAAGGGGGAGACAAAGAGAGAGAAGCATCGATGTGAGAGACACATTGATTGGTTGCCTCCCATTTGCCCCCTGACCAGGGCAGGGATCAAGCCTGCAACCAAGGTACATGCCCTTGACTGGAATCAAACCCGGGACACTTCAGTCTGTAGGACAACCCTCTATCCACTGAGCCAAACCAGCCAGCACTTTTTTTTTATTTTTGACTACAGACCCAGTGCACAGATTTGTGTACCGGTGGGGTCCCTTGGTCTGGCCTGCGCCCTCTCGCAATCTGGGACCCCTCGGGGAATGTCAGATAGCCAGTTTTGGCCCCATCCCCGCAGGCCCAATCCAGACAGGACAGAGCCCAATCCAGTGCGTTGAGTGTCTGTCCCCTGGTGGTCAATGCACATCATAGCAACCAGTTGACCGATTGTTCGGTCACTTGGGCTTTTATATATATAGATTTTAGAGAAAGAGGAAGGGAGAGGGAGACAGAGAGAAACATTGATGTGAGAGAGAAGCATCAATTGGTTGACTCCCATATGCACCCCGATCAGGGATTGAACCCACAACCTGGGTATGTGCCCTGACTGGGAATTGAACCTGCAGCTTTTTGATATACAGGATGATGCTCCAACCAGCTGAGCCACACTGGCCAGTCCTAGAGAAATTCTTACCCACTCATGCATTAGGAGACACCTACAAGAATATCTGTAATAGCAAGATGTTGTACACAAGCTAGATAATTGTCACTACAAGAATGGATAAACTGTGACACAGTAATATAGTGGAATACTATACAGCAGTTAAGAATGGATAGACAAATGTACAAAACCAAAATGAACATATTAACAGATAAATCTCAGACTCAATCGTAGCTCAAAGCAAGCTGCAGAAGAATGCAGGATAGGAAGTACATATAAAACCATGCAGAACAACGCTGTGGAACAGTGGTGCTCAAGGATGCGGACAACTTAGAAGAAGTGTGAAGAAAGGCTTCACACTCAACACCAGGACCCTGGGCCCTCTGGGGTGGGGGCTGGGGGGGGGAAAGTGAGGAACTGCATTTAAACCACATTCCACCCACCCTGGCTTCACCTGTATCCCTGATTTTTCATTTCCTAATAGAGCAGTGAGCAACCAGTTCAGCATATGTGCAAAATGTGCAAACCTGCAAATGCTCCTCATGCTCTCTGACTTCAGTCCTTTGCCCCAGCTCTGGTGAATAACAGACACTCTCCAAGGGCCATCCCAGGCCCATGACGCCCTCACTTCAATCAGGATTAGCTTTAGTCCTGGGTGACAAAATCAAAATTAGTAGTCGCTTCCCTGGAGTCTTTGAGAACCAGGATTCTCAGCATGGGGAGAAAAAGACAAATGAGGTTAAGTGAAAACTCTGTGGTCCTGAATGCTAATTTAAAGCATAAATATGATCTTGTATGTTGTTGTTTTTAAATTGTCAACCTATTCCTACCTCTGCCCATTGAAAACACCTAGAAACAGTGACCATCCCAGTGGCATTCAGCCCCGAGTGCTCAGAATATGGTCTCCAAATGTCATTTCACAGTGAAGGGACTCAGTGCTCTTTGGAGAAACATCTGATTCCAGGACTTGGGCAGGACATGTACAAGATGAAGCTGAAGCACCCTCTCATACCAGACAGGAAGCAATCAGAGATTTCAGGGTCATGTCAGGATTCAGAAGCCAACTTGAGGAGGTTCTTACTGGCTAAAGATGGGAATTTGAGCCGTAGCCAGTTTGGCTCAGTGGACTAAAGAGTCACGGGTTTGCTTCCGGTCAAGGGCTCATGACCGGAATGTGTCTCTCTCACATTGATGTTCCTCTCTCTGTGTCTCTCCCCTCCCTTCCATTCTTTCTAAAAATCAATGGAAAAATATCCTCGGGTAAGAATTTAAAAAAGGGGGGGGGGGATGGGAATTTGAGTATCAGTAACAATAATAATGCACTGAAACAAAAAATATACTAAAAAAAAAATACTGAAATCAACGAGTTCATAATAATTAAAAATTAGTCACTCTTGGGGGATTCAAAGGCATCAACTCATTATTGTAAGTAAAACTAAAAGGAAAGAATTAAGCATTTGTCCTGCCTTTCTTATACCACTGGTAGTCAAATAGTAAATGAGGGAAGTTTCTTTAACTTAAAAAACAAAACAAAACAGCTTTTTAGGAAGTTGCAAAAAAAAAAAAAAAAGTACAGGAAGCCTTTGGCCTGTGTGGCTCAGGTGGTTGGAGTGTCATCCTATGCACCAAAGGGTCTCGGGTTCGATTCCCAGTCAGGGCACATACCCAGGTTGCGGGTTTGGTTCCCAGGCGGGAGGCAACTGATCCATGTTTCTCTCTCACATCGATGTTTCTCTCTTT